AAAGCCGCCTTTATGTGGAAGCGACAACAAGAGCGAGGGGGACCAGATGCCGAGTTCACCGCAGAGGAGATTGAGAGCACGATGAAGAATCAGAAGCCGGGGTCTCCAGATATGTCAATCATGTCCTTCAAGACGGCATTTCATGGTCGCCTGTTTGGCACTTTGTCAACCACTCGCAGCAAGGCTATCCACAAGATGGACATTCCAGCCTTCGACTGGCCGCAAGCCCCTTTCCCGGTCCTGAAGTATCCGCTCGAGGAGCACGTCAAAGAGAACGAGGCCGAGGAGAAGCGGTGCCTGGAAGAGGCTGAGCACATCATCAAGACTTACCACAACCCAGTGGCTGCCGTTGTGGTCGAGCCCATCCTATCCGAGGGAGGAGACAACCACGCCAGCCCCGCGTTCTTCAGAGGCCTCCGGGAGATCACCCGCCGCAACAACGTACTCCTGATTGTGGACGAGGTTCAGACTGGTGTTGGCGCAACAGGAAAATTCTGGGCTCACGAGCATTGGAACTTGCAAGATCCCCCGGATATGGTCACATTTTCAAAGAAAGCTCAAACGGCGGGATACTACTTCGGCAACCCCGAGTTGCGACCGAACAAGCCCTACCGGCAGTTCAACACCTGGATGGGTGACCCCGCTCGAGCCATTCTTTTCCGTGCAATCATCAATGAGATTGAGAGACTGAATCTGGTGGAGAACACAGCTCATGTGGGTGATTACTTGTTCTCGAATATGGAGAGGCTGGCCCAGCAATATCCTCAACAGTTCCGGAACTTGAGAGGGAAAGGACGAGGCACCTTCATTGCGTTTGACAACCCCAAGCGAGACGAGTTCTTGGCCAAGGCCAAGACCCTCGGTGTCAACATTGGTGGCAGTGGTGTGTCGGCCGTAAGGCTGAGGCCGATGCTGATCTTCCAGAAGCATCATGCCGATATCCTGCTTGACGCATTCGAGAAATTGGCGAAGTCCTTGTAAGAGACAGAAAAGTTTGGTGTTCGCGGCGACTGGCGTATTGCTGTGATTGAGCTTGTAGCGATTGCGCATGCTTCTGGGGGAAATTCTTGTAGCATCCGAAGCTGTAGTGGGTGGCCGCTTGGCTATTGCTTCGTTCCTACTCAGCACGTAGGGCTTCTGCCGCAGTGAGAATGGACTGTCCCTCGGAATGATGTACGAATTCGTCCGTTGCGTCGTTGCTGATCAGGGCTTTTGGGATTAACGACTGCTGATTTCGATCGCGTGGCCGGGGTTTTGAAGGCGCAAGCAAGCAACGATATTGGCCTCGTCCCATCCTCATTTCAGGTCGCCCACAACAGAAACAAGGCTCCCCTGTATTTGCGAGATCTCGCAATCCGCGTCTGCGATCAAGCCGCTACGCTATCCTCATCCATTCCACTCCCGTCTCTTGGGACATACTTGATTCCATTATCTTCCAGCGCACCGATGATCTCGTTTGGCAAAGTCCCTACAACCTTGACCGCGTAAATGCCTTGGACATATTCGGTCAACCGCTGCCAACGAGCCACCCACGATGTCTTGGGGTCGTTGAGAGCAATGAGTCCTTCGAAGACTTGGGAGGTGCATTCTCCGATGGCATCTCTATTGTTGCGCAAAAGGAGGATCTCTTCGCAGTTGGGGCAGCCGTTGCGGTAGAACTCCTGGTCAGGGTGTTAGTTGCGAGGGGAGGGAACCCAGAGAGCGCGGATTCGTACCTGATCGGACTGGACAATGGAGCACACCATACACGCACGAGTTCTACTGCCGCGACCAGCCATGACGGATAGGTATAGAGTCAAGAGAGGCAACCGTCAGGGTGATCAGAGGGCGTCGTGATATTTGGATATTTGACAAACGACTTTGACGTTCTTTACCAATATGCGCCACCGTAGTGTCGAGGCTGGTGGTCGGCAGAAGTGTGGGGGCGGTCGATCCCCCAATTTGTGGGCCTGGATCCTTCAGAAAGTTCGAGTCGCCGCCGGAGCGAAGCCTGCGGGCAGACCTGGACATGCATCAAGCACACGACTTGCCCAAAATCAACAACAGCCTCGTAATGTACCAATAACATAGTTGACTTCGTTCCTTTGGCTTTGCGACCTTCTCTTCTGTCAGATTTGTTCAGTCCGAGTTTTGCGACCATGACCGTGACTTCGGCGGCAGACAAGGCCGCGGCGACGGCCCTGAAAACCAAGGGCAACCAGGCTTTTGCTGCCCACGACTGGCTCTCCGCTGTAGACTATTACACCAAAGCGATAGAGAAATACGATGCAGACCCGTCATTCTACTGCAACCGCGCCCAAGCAAACATCAAACTCGAGGCGTACGGCTATGCCATCGCTGACGCCACCAAGGCCATCGAGCTGGACAAGGACTACATCAAGGTAGGCTTGTGACAGATGTGGTGGTGGGGATAGATGCATATTCTGACCGTGTTTCACTAGGCTTACTGGCGACGAGCAATAGCCAACACTGCCATCCTGAGCCCCCAAGAAGCGCTTCGAGATTTCAGGACCGTGTGCCGAAAAGAGCCCAACAACCGCGACGCAAAGCTCAAACTTGCAGAATGCGAAAAACTGGTCAAGAAGCTAAATTTCCTCAAGGCGATCGAAGTCTCAGATCCTCCCTCAGCTTTCGAGGGATTGGACTTGGACTCAATAGAGGTTGACGAGAGTTACGACGGCGTGCGGTTAGATAAGGACATGACACAGGAATTCATTGACGACATGATACAGCGCTTCAAGAACGGCAAAAAGATACACAAGAAATACGTCTTCCAGATCATCAAGGCCGTCCGGGACATTGTGTACGACGAACCAACCATGGTCGAAATGGAGGTCCTGCCCGACACGAAGTTGACGGTGTGCGGAGACACGCATGGTCAATTCTTTGACCTGCTGGAGATCTTCCGGCTCAATGGGTACCCGTCAGAGAAGCAAGGATACCTTTTCAATGGTGACTTTGTGGATCGCGGATCATGGTCGACTGAGATCGCATTATTGCTGTACGCGTACAAGTGGTTACGACCCAACTACTTCTTCCTCAATCGTGGCAACCACGAAACTGACGACATGAACCGCGTGTACGGCTTCGAGGGCGAATGCAAGGCCAAGTACAACGAAAAGACCTTCAGACTGTTCTCCGAGTCATTCTCCGCCCTACCTCTGGCAACTCTGATCGGCAAGAAGTACCTGACCCTGCACGGTGGTCTCTTCTCGGACGACAAGGTCACGCTGGACGACATCCGCAAACTCGACCGCCATGTGCAGCGTCAACCAGGCCAGGCCGGGCTGATGATGGAAATGCTGTGGACGGATCCCCAACCTCAGAATGGCCGAGGCCCCAGCAAACGAGGCGTCGGTTTACAGTTCGGTCCTGATGTCACCAAAAGGTTCTGCGAAAACAACGGGCTGGAAGCCGTGATACGCAGTCACGAGGTGAGAATGGACGGTTATGAGGTCGAGCACGATGGGAAGTGCATCACGGGTAGGCCATTACTGTACATCCACTCTTTGACTGGGAGCCCTTGCTAACATTGTCTATAGTCTTCTCCGCACCCAAGTATTGCGACACCACCGAGAACAAGGGAGCCTACATCAACATCGGTCCCGAGTTGAAGCTCGAATACCATCAGTTTGACGCTGTTCCTCATCCTGATATCAAGCCCATGGTAAGGCATGAATTGTCAGTGCGCTTTGAGCACTCTAGCTAACACTCTGCCAGGCATACGCAACCAACAGTCCACTGATGAACATGATGTAGAACGACCTTTCTTGTTCTCGTTCTCTGCATATCACGACGGCAAACAGAAAGAAAGAGTTGGACAGCCGAATCTGGACCCTAGACTACTACGACGGATGTGTCATTGTGAATCAATTGTATGTAAAAACATGAACGTTGGACAGCAAGTCGAACTCATAGCGGGGCGCAAGAGGAACGTTTGTCCACTGCTTGGGAATTAGCCTGCTATCAGGGCGTCGCCTGAAAGACGAAGGACAGTACGGAATAGTATGGGACATTATGGTCTCTACACAGTGCCACTCTGAAGGATGTGGCTGTGCTGGCCGGTGATGCACAGGTGACTTGCAGGTGAATCAGAAGTGAGTGACTCGGCAACCGCCAGCCTACTGTACCAGACTCTGTGCTTCATTTGTGCCAAGAACCTGTAACCCTGGCATCTTCAGATGTCTGAAGGACCCTAGACTCACGAACATGATGCCTTCTTGAACATGAGCGGCCGCCACACCGCTCGCTACAGGGCGGTCCATGTGTGTCCATTCACAGTCTCCGCTGCAACGGCTCACCTCATCCTTCGCTCACTACCGGCTCAATCAATCCTTTTGCATATTTTCTCAGGCACAGATGAACCTTGGAGTTTGTCTTGTCCAGGTTAACCGCAAGCATGTCACCCAGCAACCGAGTCATTGTTGGCCACGTCAAGGGGACTGATTTGTCGTTCTCTCACAGCCAGACAGAGGCATGCTCTCCAACCGTTCACTCGTGCTACAGTAAGGTCAGTGTGGTTTCATCAGGACAGCCAGCAACCGATGCTGTAGCCTCATCTCCGCTACCTAACAACGTGTACAACGTGATTAGTCGAAGACGAACGGTCCAACTGCCGCCTGCCGCTCACGACGTCCCCCTTTGACAACTGTGTACCAACTGAACAACATGGCGTCGACTCCAGAACCGCACGGCATAGTCATGATGTCGCAAGAACCCGAACCAACGTCGCACTCAGAAGGTGGGTTTGACAATGAACCAGCTTAACGCCTGCCATAAGACACCTCATCCGGCTGGAGAAAGCTATCAAGCAGAGTCCATATCACCGCGTGAGCTCCTGACCATCACGTGGCTCCGAAACTAGGACTAACAAGTCCGAGCACTACCATCATCTCCAGTACGGCGCGTCTCCATGCCGGGATCGCCATCCATAAAGAAAGACCGCTTCGTCCTTGAGGGAGGACTGCAGCAGAGCCCCTTCCTTTCCGTCCTGCCACACCATGTGCACCATCTGCTGGCCACCCACTACGTTGACTTCGACACATTGCTCGCCCTCAGACAAACATGTCGAACTCTGCATGATATTCTCACGCCGCGGCTCGTCCACCGAGTACGGTCAAACTTCGTCAAAGACAGTCTGACACAAGAGACGGCCCAATACCACGAATACAGGTCGATATACCGTGGCCGATACCTGGGGCGCACTCAGTGGGCCTTGCCCTATGCGACAATCAATGCCCGGCTCATTGGGCGCCCGGCCCAGGAGTTACGATACTTCGGGTGCCTTGAAGTCAAGCCATTATAGTGTTTTGTGGAGAGAATGAGCAGTCGCGGGCACGGGACTCAGGGCCCGGTCCCGCGAAGGGCAGGCTGTGCAAGGACTGTATGCGCCGATAGCGCGACATCGAGGGACAGTAGTGGAGAGAGAACTGCGTCCAGAAAGGCGATACCGTGCACAAGACTGGTAAGTCTCCCCGATTCCGTCGCTGGGTGCTCCTGGCCGGCAGCCTTCTCAACCCCGAAGAAGAGATCGGCGTGCGCTGGTCGTGCGGCACCGGCACCTGTGAATTGTGGTGGGGATGCGTCTTCGCGTTCCGAACTCGAGGAGAAACGGCGCCACGAAAGAGGCCGCGCTGGACTCCGACGGCGTCATCGAACGCAAGGTCGTCGACTTCCTGGAAGCGTCGCTTGTGCGCAAAGAGGCCAAGCGCCGGAAACGATAGCCGTGTCTCGAATATAGAACCAGAAGGTGGTGGATGCCGAGACTAAACCTGGATATCAGTCTAGGAGGCAATTTCACCAACCGCCGAGCCGCGTTGACGGAGTGGAAGAACCACAAGGCAAAAAGTCTGGTACCGGCCGCACCGGCGACTCGACATGGAGGGCGCTCGATCAGATCCCCTTGCCAAAGAGCAGAAGGGAATCCAGGCGTCCGTCATATTGGATGCCTTATTGCCCGTACCGGCCAGATTTTCTCTGATCCGGTATATGAGAGAGCTCTCCCGAGAGAACGGTGGTGTCCTGGATGTCAACTCGAGTACGATCAGCGGCAGTCAAGAAGATAGGCACGCATACCCGGAGAGAAGACAAAGACCGATCCAACGATGATGGGCATTTTCAGCGACGAATGGATCGACAACAACCTGCCCGTCTTTTTGACGGGAGTTAGGAGCCAGGCATAACATGCTACAGTACTATAGTCATTGAGAAGAGCCAGAAATGTCCCCACACGGGAGATGATGTTTGAATCTGCTTGTTAAGGACCTTTGTGGACCGAACGATCAGCTAGTCGGAATGCTGTTTCCAACCTGGAGCACTTGAGACCAGCAGTGCAGACGACCAAGTTCTGTTGCTGTTTCTGTGATGTGCCATGTGCCATTTGCCGTGTGCGATCCGCGAAACCGAGACGAGACGTGCGAACCGCCGAATGACTTTTTCGCAGTAACTACCATTATATGATACCATACTATATTACAGTTGCGCATTTCCGCCACCCATCCGCATGTTCACACAATTTGGATCCCCCACAAATCATCGTTGGCGTTCGACGGCTTTTCAATATATACCCCATCCACCCCATACGACACCAAGTCACTGAATTGATATTGAACAAAAGCAGCGAGCGGTCGTGAAGCTCGCTCACAAGAATACCCAAAGCGAGAACCTCACTTCGTGCCTAACGAATGTCTCAGTCAGCCTCAAGAGCTTTCCAACCACCAAGCAGGAGAGGGGGACGTACCATCTCGGGGATTCCCTTGTGCCGGGTCTCCTGTCTTCTCTACCGCGTCCACGAACTCTAGGGCCTCTTCCGCGACTTCGTCCGTGATGCCAGGGAGCTGGGGTTTTACCGAGTCAGTATAGTCAGCCCAGGGGATAGATAGTCCGGCAGGGAGGAATGAGCACGAGACTGTTGAATCGTGCCGTCAACCATTCGGTCATGACACGAAGAACTCAAGCTCGAGCCGGAGCATGAGCATGAGCATGAGCATGAGCATGAGCATGAGCATGAGCATGAGCATGAGCATGAGCATGAGCATGAGCATGAGCATGAGCATGAGCATGAGATGACCAAGCACCCACACGTCAGGGCCCAGTACCGAAAAACAACGAGCAAAACCACTCACCGTCACGTCCGGCAGATGCTTGCTATGGCTTTCCCTGTGCGTGGCGGGTCCTTGCATGAACTTGTGCATCTTGTCCGCCAGGTCATCGTTCAGGCCCGGGCCGGAATCCTTGGATGATCTCATGAACTGCGGACCCAGAGAAGGTCGAGTTAGCTGACGTTCCATGGTGTGAAGCTTGCGTGGTCGGTGCCTCGAGCGCTCAACATGCATATAAGACAGCAGGCAGGCAGGCAGGCCGTCAGGCTGGTAGTAAACCCCCCTGGATTGTGCTTGACATGCTCTCCACATGGGACGGGACAGGACGGAACGCAACAGACCAGGCGCGCAGCAGCGTACTCACCTCCCGCGCAGCTCTTGCCGCATCGTCAGTGACACCGCTGGATGACCGGCGAATCGTGCCGCTCATGAAATCGTGGGCCGACTGTGCTGCATCTTCGGAGATGCCGCTGCTGGAGCGCCGGTGGGAGGCACCTGTCGGCAGAGCTGTTGTTGGTTTACTGTCCATGGACATGGGGTCGTCAAAGAGTCTATATCGGTTTGATTGAAATATGTACGGCGAATGGTCACAACCAAAGTTGGTCCTGTACAGATAGACAAAGTGGTCACTTACTGAAAGCTTGAGTGTCCTTGCAGGAGGATCTGAAGTCATATGTATGTATGTCGTCTCCCTTCAAGCTCCCATGCGAGCGGAGGGGTCGCATTGCCGTGTTGCCCACGGATCTCAGGGCGGGGTTCGTGGAATGAGAGCACACGAGCGGTTCCAGGGGTCTTCGTATGAAACGGGCAAGAGAACAACACGGCTGTTAGTCAGGCAAAAGACTGATTCGTCGGAGCCCGAATACCATCTCTCGATGGTCTGATCTGTGGAGATGCAACCACTGGCTGGTCCGGATCTGCCTTTTGGAGCAGGCGCGGCATTTCTGTAGGTCACGAGGCGTGTCCGGGGAAGCGAGCATTTGAAGCAGAAACGGTCGAGCAAGATCTCTAGAAGTAAGGAGAAGTCCAGGTCCCATGTTGACAGGAGAAAGACATCTCGCTCGAAATGGAGGAGTGGTATTCTTTAGACACGCCAGTCTGACTTGCTCTTGCTTCTCCCTTTCGGCATTGTTTTCCGAGAAGCAATGCGCGTACCACCGACCCCCAGCTGCCTTAATGACTACGGGCGTATCGCAGCATCTGATTCAGTGATTTTGATGCTGCTGGAAGCGCGACTGGGGTCCATCGCGGATCAAAAGAACAAGGGCTTGAATCCCTCCGCCTGCACATCCCAGTCCGCGGGGAACTTCAGTCCCGGGGCATCTTTCCAGCCGCCCGCCATCATCGCGACAGCCATCAGCAGCGACGTACTGCCGGGAAAATAAGGCGTCGGTACTCTTGTACCTCCAATAGGCATACCTACATCATCGAACGGGAAGTTCGGTTGCAGCAGGAAGTCGACAGCACGATCGAAATCGCCCAGACGTGCGGCTGCCATTGCCACCATGGGAAAATCCCAACCGAACGACTCTGTCCATTTCCAGGTCTGATAAATCCGGTTCATGGTGTTGTTGAAGATGGTCAAGTTGAAATCAGGCGGTGGTCGGATGAAGCCATTGATCATAGCCATGCTTGGATGGTCTGATGTCAAGTCCGGATCGTTCCACATGTCAGGCACGCCGGTGTATATCACGTATGTACCATTCTCCACTGGCATGGGCGGCAGATTATTGGCAATGGAAGTCCAGGCCTGTGGTACGGTCTTGTTCTGGCGCTGATTCCACTGTGCCGCAATGTCCAGACCCCATCGCCAGTATGCCAGCTCGAACGTGGGGTTGACTGTTGCATTTGGATTGGTGTTCTCGGAAGCTGGGTACACTGGTGGGCCTAGTTGCAGAACATCCAGAGATTGGTTACGGAAGGCATATGACGCCATGAAATCCGCAGAGGCGGTAAGCACTTCATCCCATTTCTGGAGTGTCTTATTGTTGGGGCGGCGTTGGTATTCGGCTTCGGCGAAATAGAAAGGATGTGGTTGTTGCCAGATTAGCAGCGAGTTGATCTCTCCCGGGGCTGAGCGGCCTGACGGATCTGACATTTTACCCCAGCGGGCGCCTTCGTAGCCCATCTCCCGTGCTCTTTGATAGGAGGTAGGCAAGAATCGGCTGTAGATCGAGTCATGTCTTGCCAACAGATCCTCCTTTCCCCAGAGTCCGAAGTGCAACGAATGGAAGCCCACCATTTCAAGATGGAATTTGCCATACCAACCATTGTTCGTCAGGCCTGATTCTTGTGGTGGATCTCGTCCGGCTTCGTTGATTGTCACGAGGTATTGCGAGAGGATGACGCGCCGCTGAAGCTCCTTCGCGTCTGCATTTCGAGCTGAGGGCAAGGAGATGAAGGCACCACGGTTCCAGTATGACTGCCACCATGCAGCCGAGGAATTGAAGACCTTCTGAGCAGAGGGAACGGTCTTGGCCTGGGCGGGGGCGAGGTTCGCCGTGAAAGACAACTGATCGCCCTGCTTTGGCATCAGGAAATAACGATGAGTCGACGGCTTCGGACCGGTCATACTGGCATTTCCCACCCATCCAACAGTAGTAAAATACGTTGTTGCATCGAGGTCGTGCTGGACAACCGCTGACTGCTTCTGAGCTTTGAGGGAGGTCGTATGATTTGTGGTGGCGTTGAAAAGACCGACGAATGGGGCATCAAATTTGTTTTGTCCCGTGGCGTATGGATAGTTGAAGAAGACTCCGAGAGTACCGGAGCTCAACAGCGTGGAGTTTATTTGCACGGCGACTGTATCACTGTTGGGGTCGACCGTAGTCTGAACGCTGACTCTGGTGCCGTTCAGGGAGAAGGTGGAATGGAGGAACCCCGAATACAGGTCCAAAGACTGACTCTTGTCGTCGAGGTCGTCCTCGCTGACAGTCTTGCCTTGGAAGTTCAGGCCGATCCGAATCAGGTTAATCCGATGAGGATTGGCAATTAACCATTGCGAGATATTTGCTTCGGCGGGATTCGGCTGGCTGCACGGCCCTTGTTAGCATCGTCGTTCACCTGGATCTCAAACAAAAACTTCCCGGGTGTCCTGTGAAGGATATGGAAGACCCTGGACAGAGAGTCACGGAACCTGCGCAGACTTACTCGTACGTGACCAAGCGGCCATGCGTCCACCATTGTAGCCCCGTGAAGTCGCCGATAGACGTTTGGCCTGGTGTGGTGGGAAGAGAAGAGTTGTGCCAGCCCCAGCTAGATAGCGTATTGAAAGGGACAAAAGTCTGCAGTCCGGTGACATCTGCTGAGAAGACAAAATTCCCGTTGCCGACTTGCATCGGAGTGTCTGCGCTCGCGTTTCGTTTCGGGTTGAACTGTTGCACCACTGCCTTGCGGTCGATCTTGGCACCACGGACAGAGAACGCACATGACAGTAACAGCACGAGAAGGCCTAGGATACGTAGACCAATGCTGGTTGCCATTCTGAGCCGTGGTGTTCACTAGAGATGCGGCAAGCGATATTGGCGTTCATGATATCGTGGGCAGGGGCAGTTCTTAAATGTTCCTATCCACACGCCTGCTCGCTGGCGTCATGAAGTCCGTGGCCGGATGTATGGCGATCATTGCACCGACCACTGCTGCCTCCGGCCAGAAGCACCAGGCAGTCGCTCTGTTGGAAGGTGGAGGCTGCAGCAAGACAAACCCCGGAATGCGGAGAGATCTGGGAGAGCTGTGTGTTCGGTGGCTGATAGCCCGACGCCATGTTTCTGATCTACACGGGGGTAGTAAGTTGCAGCTCCTTTGTCGGCTATATTCGAAGCTGTCTCGTCTGCTGGACGGCGCATTTAGCCAGCAGAAGCATTTTCCCTGTTGGTGGCTCCCAAAATGAGCTTCGACATTGTATGTTGCTGTAGCGGGCTAGATGCGGCGGATGACCAGAGCTCATTGCCATGGAAGGAGTCGGGCCGTATGTAGGAGAAAGAGAGGTATCGTGAAGCCACTGCTTTCATTGTGTGTACGACGTGACAGTCAACTGAGGATGAAATCAACCCAGCAGCCGCTACAGTAATTACCCCGCCGCACCCTCGGCCCCGCACGTCCACGACTTGCCCTTACGAGCCTTAGCGTGACCAGCATGACTAAGCTAAGGCTGGCCACGCAGCTCTCAACGCAGTAGCTACGGCGCAACATTCTCCCATGCAAACGCAAAGCGACTATTCCGTTCGGGGATTTTTGAGATTTGCTCAGATTTTCGACAATTGAAAAATGGCCGTGATCTCCGGATCGTGACCCTGGTTCTTATTGCCTCATGTCGGTCTTCCACGATCCCCAGACTGCCCAGACTATCGTCACGCCTAGTCTTTTGTTGGGGTGCCCGGTTCCATTTTTGGAATCCCAATGAAATTGGATCGTCGGAAGAACTTTTTATATCATGGCGTCCTTATATTGCTGGTCGGTCACAGAGACCAAGTCAGACACTTCATCCAGCACATTCACGGCGAGAAGTCTAGCAACACCCAGCAACCATGAGCATCGAGGTCCCCGTTTCTCCCGGCCACCATGACTGGCACTTTCCTGCCGGTCAACGGCTTGATTTCTTCCCGTCGAGCGTGCCGTCGTATGGACACTCGAGGAATTTGAGCAAAGACAACCCGGCACTACCTGAACTACCACTCTTCCTTGCCGCCAGATCGGTTGTCCTTGCTGATCCTCACAAAGTCGCCATCATCGACAAGACCAAGGACCAGAGCTTTACATATGTCCAACTTCTGAACGATGTAGCTGCATTGAAAGCTCAAATACAGCAACATTTGTCCGGCTACGATCCCACAGTTGCCAGCCACTCGGAAGAACCGAGGATAGCTTTCCTCGCACCTGCTGGATACGACTACGTTGTCACTCAATGGGCGGTTTGGGCGGCTGGAGCTGTCGCCGTGCCGCTGTGCACATCTCACCCGCTGAAAGAGCTCCAGTACACCATATCCGACTCCGATCCATCTCTGATACTCCTGCATCCGACATTCCAGAAATTCGAGGCTGGCCTGCAAGAACAAGCCGGGTCTGCCGTCCCGATCGTCCCCATTACGCCACTCACCGAAAGCTCGAAAAACTTCCCGTTCCTGCCGAGGTTCACAACATCCTTCCCTCTGTCACGACGAGCACTGATGATCTACACTTCGGGCACGACATCGCGGCCCAAAGGCTGCATTTCGACCCACGAAACCATCGTTTTCCAAGCACGGAGTTTAGTGGAAGCCTGGAAATATGATCGCTCTGATCACCTCATCCACGTCCTTCCTCTTCATCACGTCCACGGCATCATCAACGGACTGACTGCGACTCTTCTCGCTGGGGGTACCGTGGAGATGTACCCGAAATTCGACGCCAAGACGGTTTGGAGCAGGTGGTCGCAGAAGGGCTCATCGACCATGTTCATGGCCGTCCCGACCGTGTATTCGCGTCTGATTGACTATTTTGACACCAACATCCGCGGCACGGCCTCTGAGTCCACGGCGCGGGAAGGGGTTCAAGCTCTTCGCCTCATCGTGTCGGGTTCGGCGGCCCTTCCCATCGCCACGAAGCGCAAGTTCGAAGAAATCTCCGGACACGAGCTCCTCGAGAGGTACGGCATGACCGAAATCGGCATGGGCTTGTCCTGTGGTCTCGAGCGTGACCAGCGGATAGATGGGAGCGTTGGCTGGCCACTACCGGGCGTGCAAGTTCGACTGACCGAGGAGAAATCCGGTCGGGTCATCACCTCGTCGGGCCAGGACGAGTCCGGTATGATTGAGATCAGAGGGCCTAATTTGTTCTTGGAGTATTTCCGACGACCCGAGTCGACTGCCGAGTCCTTCACCAAGGATGGGTGGTTCAAGACTGGCGATGTGGCGAAACGAGAAGCCAACGGCGCTTATTTTATTCTTGGCCGTGACAGCGTCGATATCATCAAGAGCGGCGGGTACAAAATCTCGGCGCTGGAGGTCGAGCGAAAGATCCTCGGCAACGAGGCTTTGAGCCCTCTCGTCAGTGAGGTTGTCGTCGTTGGCGTTGAGAACGAGGAATGGGGCCAGCGAGTCGCCGCCGTGGTGAAGCTCAAGGACTCGGTAAGCTTGACTCGGTGCTACAATCCTGTTGGAAGAGGAAACCAGCTAATCAGCAAACAGGCGACTTCTACTGGCCTCGATCTCGCAACCCTGCGCAAACACCTAAAGGAAGACATGGCAGCATATAAAGTCCCGACCGTCCTGAAGCTTGTCGACTCGATCGAGCGCAACGCCATGGGCAAGGTCAACAAGAAGGAAATCCTTAAGCAGCACTTTGCACCAAAGGGGTGAAGTTGGCATGAAAGGGGGCTCGGCTCCAGGCGTCATGCTTGTCTTGTTAGACGGACACAGGCACCAAAGGCGCATGACTAGATGACTAGATGAACGTGGTAGATGTGGTTCACGCCAGGACGGACCATTCGCCGATCTGTACATATACAAAGATTACTCCAACATGTATCATCAGCACCGCAGGAACATGAGAACCGGCATTCTGCTTATGTGCTGGTCGTTCGCGTGACTCTTTTCCAAAACGAGCGTTGTGTGATGAGTATTCGTCCGTACGGAGCATTTACTTGTGATCTTCCTCTTGTTGGCAACCCTTCCCATAATGATCTCCTCCAGCACGGAGTACGGGTCTCCGTCTGTACGAGTACTTGGACAGCATACAACATGTACTTGTAACTCCCCCTCTGCTTTCCCGCCTCCTCCCCTCCAAGCTAGCCCACGACCCGACAATCTCACCGCACAACTCCCGTATCCGGAACCTGATTCTTCAAGGCATCAAGGCAGCATTCGAGTCAATCTCCCGATGCAACTCGGCACCAGCACACAGTACGAGTGCAGTCCTGTACCGTACCGTACACGGTAGAATATCTATTGCCGACCGACGAGAGTGGCCGCTCGCTTTCCGTCCAGTTAATTAATGGACAACGTACACTTTGTTCTTCCACCACAGCACTCGTAGTCCGGTCCGGTCACTTGCTTCTGGTCACCACTGATGCTTCGGGATATATGGATACATTGCGACATGATTATTTTCTTCTTTCTTCTTTCTGTCCCGCAGCTAGGTATTGGTGACCACCATGTTGTGTGCATCTGGTCTTACGAGGCACATTGCAGACCTAGTAACTAGGTATCACCGGGACACCGATATGATACGCCTCTTACTTAGATACTGACTTGGACTTGGACTTAATTAGCAGCCTACTGACACGACTCTGTGACTTGTTGGTCTATAGCTGGTAGGGTAGCTAGTACGAGTACGAATACAAGGTCTCTAGTCACGGACAGGGCAGGGGAGTAATTAGGCCTACGAGTGCAGATGCTGTGTTGTGTTGTGTAGGCATGTAGGCATGTAGGCACGTAAGTACACCACGGTAGGAGAGCAGCACGACACAGGGAACGACAGGACACGCATCCACTCGTACTATGTACTGTACACAACGTACTATCCCCGTATACGGAGTATACCTTGGAAAACCGCACATATTCATCTCCACCCTCATCTCTATCTTCGTGTAAACAATGAACCGGCGGCCGTGCACCCATGCCACCTACGGACTACTGCATCTCACTGCCATATGTCGCTTCACCCGTCGTCCCGCAAGGATGGACAAGTCACCTTGGCCAACCTAGATAGGACGTACCGGGTATGGCACACAGCCTACCACACCCGCAGGTGCCCTGTACAATGTACCATGTACTTACGGAGTACGGTCTCGACCAAGCACCAAGCACCAAGCACCAAGCAGAAGCCCGCGAATCTACTCGGTACCTCCGCTTCGAAACTCGTGCATCGGAAACGCGACATGGATTAATTGACTTTCGATGACTTTGGATCCGACGCGGGTTCCGATGCACGAGCACCTGCAGTGAGGGATCAGGTTGTGTGTATGTATGTATGTATGTATGCGTGTGGTACATACTGCTAGACTTGAAAGTCCGCATCAAGTGAGGGACACAGCACTGTACAGTAGTCTCCTCTACAGTAATCTCCTCTACTCTACCCCAGTGATGCCAATCCCCTCTTGTACAATTCGCTGAACGGTAAACGCTGGCATCTCTAACCGTACGTACTGTACTACTGTAGTTGACACCATGACGGTCCCACTCACTCAGTCACACTCCCTTCTTTCCGCACCTGCACTGCACCTGCACCTACATGACCCGCTGCAAGAACTTCCACTCATCCATGTCCTCCTCGTCCCCCTCATCGTGTTCTTCCGCTGCCCCTCCATCCCATGCACACGGCACGCGGACCTGGCGTGCCAGCTCCTGCGCCATCAAAACCGCCCCACGGAGCTGGCCCCTCGTGGCGCCCAGATTGACGCTCCCGAAGAAATGGCCCTTGGCCTGCGGCGCCACCCCGTCGGCCAGACAGCAGACAAACTCCAACATGCCGGTCTCGAGGTCGCCGATGATGGCGTTCTCGGCCAGCAACTCGCCGTAGATGCACTGGATGGCGAAATGGGTCAAGTCGCCGCCGGAGCACGACGACATGGTCGACACGACGCGCGGCGTGTGTCTGTCGTAGATGGTCTGGAACAGCGCCATGCCGCGGTTGAACTTGTCCGCGGGGGAGAGCCAGGGCGACGACCGCAGAGACGAGTCCCTCTGCAGCACGGTCGAGAGGGCTGGGTGGCTGGATTGGATGGCGCGGTGGAGAGTGAGCAGCGCGTTGATGGCGCGGGGGAACCCGACGAGCGTGCTGGCTTTGAGGCTTGCTTCGCGGATGTGCCGTGCTGTCGTGAGGAGGAGGTGGTGGTGGTGGTGGTCGTCGTCGTTCGTCCCCGATGCGCGAGCCACGTTCACTGCCAGGTAGGTCCACAGGTCGGCAATGAGCTTCTCCTTGTGGAATGCGAGGAGAAGGGCCGTGGTCAGGATGTACCATAATGAGGATAACGAAGGGGAGGGTGTCGGGTCTGTGTTGTCGGTAGCTGATTCTGCGGCGAATATGCTTTGTAGTTTTGCAAAATCGACCCGCTGCCGTGAGCGAGGCTTGCTGGGTTCGGATGGAGGAGATGAAACCGTCGTCGTCGACGAAGTAGCACTAGGTAATTCGGATGGAGGAGACGAAACCGTGGTCGACGAAGAAGAAGCAGCACTTGACGTTTCGAAACGGGCCGGCGAACCCGCCGTCTCCGCCGTCGTCCTCGCCGTCAACGATACAACCGTATCACTTGATATCTCGACGTCCACGCCATTCGCACAACGCGAGGCATCAATGCTCTGCTCGTCGTCCGAAATGGGAGGTGACGGTATCCGCGTCGATGGGTCGTGCATCTTATACGTACAAGGAGGCGGCGACGTCGCCTTCCATGCTCTGGCGAAAATGGTGAAGCCCTTTGTATGTGTCATGGGGGGCAGTGTCCGTGGGGTCTGGCCGGATAAGTACACCTAGGTATTCATCAATGGTAATGGTAGTGATGTGGCGGGTTGAGGTGTCTAATGTGGTTGATCAAAGGACAAAGGGTGTTGATGTGGTTCTAATGTAGTTGGTTTGGGGATAGAGTCACCAATGTGTTGCGTATGAAGAGAAATAAAGCAAGAGAGAAGGCAGAATCGTGAGTTTTATGATATCGTAGTGTACTGCATCTTGCGTTGTTGTTTGTATCCTGCCAAGCGAGGCGAATGGGAGACGAGGCCTGGATACTACCGCGTGAGCATCAGGCTGAGCGGCGAAGATAAGGGATGGCAGCCTTGACCCGATGCTCGCCTGCTCGACATCAGTCTACCGCACAGTGGCTTCAGAGTCAGGGTGATTCCTGACGGCCATTTAACAAGGCCCATATCAGCACTTCAGTGTGCCTCCGTGACGCAGTGTGAGGTGCTAAATGCTGGATCGCGCATCGCAAATCATTGCTCGGCCCGGATTCGGGGCGCCATGTCTTGCACCGTGCTGCGCCCGACTTTTCCCAGCAACGGTTCTCGGCCGCCAGAAGATCGACCGATCGGTCATAAAACAATAGCCGATCACGGGCATCCTCGGCGTGGTGTCCGCAGAGCCCAGAGCCTTGCAGCCTTGCTGTCTGTCTGGTTGCGTGCCTGGAAAGCGACGCTCAGATAGCCCATGCATCAACATCATCGCCCTCGTGGATAAACGGTTCATCAATCTGTTTGATGCCCAAGTCCCCGCAGAGCACGCATTGCTCAGCGACCAACCCGTCCAGCTCGGCCACCAGTTTCTGCCGCTGCACTCCAATACTCAAGCCCTGGTTGACCTCGGTCTGCAAATCCTTGATGCGCTTCCTCTTGCTGGTCCCCGAACTCTCCAGTACTCGCTTGCCAAGACAGTCGCTGTGAAACGCATGCTGACACGGAAACACAAAGAACTGCCGGCTCAGCACCGGGAGCGTACAGATCCAGCACCTTTCTCCGGCTTCGACAATGGCATAGCGACGATCCAATGCCGCAATCTCCGCTTTGATTTGCTCCGCCGTGTGCTGTGATATGTCCATCTCCTGTTTCAGATTGTCGATATGTCGGGAGTACTCCTCGAGTGCCTCACAGATTTCTTCCCGGAAGTCGTCGATGACGACAAAGTCCGGGAAGAAAGGGATCAGGTCCTCAATTTTGAGGAGCTCACACCGCTTTAGGAAGCTGATGGCCTCCTTGATAGACGACGCCTCCTTGATCTTCTTCTCCGCTATGAGCAGCCACAGTCTCTTCCGCAACTTGTCATTGTCTTCTAGCCGATCCGCGACAATTGCAGCCAAGTCAATATCGTCATGTTGCAGCGCGAGTTCGACTGCTTGCTGAAACTGCCCCATGGCACTGTAGATGTGTACGCACGATTGGACCCGATTGTGTTGAATGCACAGCCGGAGAGCAAAATCAGCATCGTAGAAAGGCGGAGACGGCTGGCTCTCGAGATAACCCAGGAGCATATTTTCCGACGCCGACGGATGCGACGCCATGATCGAGATAAGGGCGTTGTGCACCGACGCCGGTACCTCGAAGTTGTTTGTCACTACGAAGTTCAAGTATCGCACCGCTTGGTTCTGCGTCAACGGAACGTCGGCATTTTCGTTGTAGCTGAGGAGTGCTGGGATCAGCTTCTGCGGATCGATGTTGCTCCTTCGCACGAGGATCTCCACCAGTCCTGTCGCAACGTGGGCCATGAGCACATTGCTATACCGATAGAATGTTTCTGGGTTGCTCTGCTTGTTGAGCACCGACAGTGCCTCGTTCCACTTTTCTCGTTGTACCCAGTACGACAGGACGTAGTCGTAGTCGGTGATGGTGTTGGCGAAGAAGAGCAACTCATCTTCTCGGTCGTGGCTAGAAATGACTTCATAGACTGTCTGTGCGTCGAGATCGGACTTGTGTCTGGTCACGAAGTCCTGGAACTCGCCTCTGGTCTTCTCAAGGTCTCGCTTCGCTCCGCCGGCATCGGTATCCTCGAGCAGCTCCGCCTTGGTTGCCACCATATCGTCCAAGGAATTCAGCTTGGCCATGAATATCTGGACAAGCCACGTCGCTATCATGACCCGTTGCATGACCGAGGACTTCTTGTACGAGCCCAGTTTGGCCGTCAAGTACTTTCGCAGGGCATCTTCTTGCCCGTTATCGATCAATGACAGGCAGACCTCTTCAAACGCCTTGCTGCTCTTGCCCCATACCCCTGCTGCCTCGAGGTACTGGCCTTTGCTCGACAGGAAATCGCCGGAAGCGGTCGCAACCGAATCTTTCTGTGCCGCTCCCTTGGCATACCGGAGAGCAGCATCGTAGTCTTGTTGTTGCAACATGATTTTCCAAATGTCCCGCTCCTCGTCGTTGGCCACCACCTCGAATATTTCTTGCGTCGTGAACAGCCAGTAGGTGTTCTTCTTCTGGTCTGCCACCAATCCTAGAGCACTCTGACCGGGCTCTAGGACGGTCTGGTCGTAGACGACGCTTCCGTCAAGCCGGTTGACGGCAACGATCCGGCCCTCGGCAAGGGCCAAAACGTGCCATTGTGATAAGACGGCAGAGACGATGGGGTCTTGGATCAGTTTCCGACCTCCACGTGCAGATATCGTCTCTGGAAACACAGAGCGGGGATGTAGCTTGGACTCGCTGAAAATCTTGCTGCCTAGAGCGGATGACGCAGGTGAGGTCGACAGCTTGCCGGTGAGCACGCCCTGAGAGTACAGCCAAGCGAAGCCGCGAGACGACTCGCCGCCAGCGTCCTGCGATTCAGGCGATACGGACAAGGACGAGGGCGCATTTGCCGTTGCGCCAGTCGTGTCATGCACGACGGGTGCTTCTTTCGAGAAGAGGTCCGCATAGATCGACGCTGAGCCTTCTTTCCCCCGGCCGCTCGTCTTGCCGATCCAGTGGCACAGTCGTGTATGCGATGCCACTATGACCCTCCGCACGTCGGCCTTGCCATCGATGGTCTCTGCCCAAAGGCCCGTCACGGCACCGTCTGGGATCTTCCACACCTGCGTGCAGTACCGTTCCTCGCGCCTGTAGAATTCCGACGCCGGCTCAATGTATATCTCGTAGACGTTGCCGTCCGTGCCCCCGACCAGGATCTCTCGGGTAGACGCGGTTGGTTGGGAGGGATTCCACGCGATTGACTCAATAGACACGCCCTTTAATCTCGACAGGGCTTTGGGCTGCTTTGACTGGCTATGGAGGTAGAAGTTCTCGCCCAGGGTGGTCGAAATGATCAGATGAGACGCCGAAGGGTCGAGGAATAAACGGCGGATGAGACCGACCTCGCTCGTCTTCTTGGGGAGGTCGACGTCTGCGATAGTCAGCTGTCTGCCTGCCCACGATGGGATGCGGGAACCACCAGACCATCAATGTCCGCGGGACTCTCTAGATCTATGCGAAGAATGCGGCCCGTCGCAAGAGCAAGGATCAGGACATTGTTGGCAACCTGACCAGCAACAAAGTCGGAAGCGATGTTGAACTGCAGCTGCACCCGTTCGACGTTGAAGATGGGCAGCGTCGTCTCGACTCCGTTGCCTGACCCCGGGCCAGGAGCCACGTAGCCTGCGTCAAGATCGAGCGCCATCGCGCCGCCGGGGTCGATGTCAACGCATTGCGACTCCCTTGCCACAGTCGATGAGATGGTGGTCGTGGTCGTGGTCGTGGTCACGGTCGCGATTCAAGCGAGGGATTGCGAAGTTGAGCTCGAGTCCCGCAGCCGCTGCGTCATTTCAATCGCCTTGCAATTTAATCATCGGGTGAGACCAACGTGAGGGCTCAATGAATTGAATCCACTGGCTTGTGGCTGCACCTCCCAGGCCACTTATATTGTCATATCTAAATGCTCAGAAACAGTCAAGCATCTTCTATTTCATCATTCAAGTAAACGTAGCCAGTGTACCGAAGGCATGGTTGCGTGATTACCGCCAAAGACCGCCAGTTCGCTCCCCCGAGACGCCATCGCTTGCTAATGTAGAGATTGAAGCCAGCCAACAACCACAATGTCGTTCTTCGTCACAAGCACATTAACCCCGGCCAACTACTCTTGTTCCAAGTCCCTTTACTTTGCCGCAAATCTCGACCTCGCTCTCAAGTTCGCACCCCATTGCCACAGGACAAAGACACCAATAATGCCACCCACGGTCAACCCACCAAGCAAGCTGACACCACGGCCGACACCCAGATTGTGGAACAACGGGCGGGAGAAGTGAATCGCTGCGGCGGCGATGGAAGACCGCGCGAAGTCGTTGCCGGCGAACAGCGAAGCCGCGTATTGAGGATAGGTCAGATTGATGTACAGGAAGATGCACTGGAAGAGGATGAAGATGCCGATGGTGAAGACGACAACGCCCAGCTGAAACAAGAGTTAGCATGGCTTCAAACGAAAGGAGAAGGATTCGAACTTACAGTCGGCACGATCCAATGAATCTTCGGCGAACTGTCGCCCGTCCAAGCGAACCAGAACAGGCCGATGGGCAGCAGGAATGTCGCAGGAAGAGCAGGTATCAGCCGTCTCTCCGGCTCTCCCAGTCCCCTTGTCCGAACTTCAGGCTCGAACACCCAGTAGAGGTAGGCCACGTAACATGCGATAGCGATGCTGACGCCCACAGAGATGGACAAGAAGATCAGACCGATCTCTCCCATGTTCATTCCATACCCACGCGTGGCCTTGCCTGGGTTGCCATTTGCGTAGACCAGCGGGAATACCTCAAAGAAGGAGTAGAAGATACTGTACATCAAGGCCGTGTAGAGCGACGTGAACAAGACAGCCGGGTCGAGGATGTTGATCTGAGCAGGGCGCCACAAATTGCCAACCACAACTTCATTGACGGTCAATTTCTCCTGATCAATCTCACCCTGGGACTTCAGGTTGGCATTGCCAGTCAATTTTCGGAGTCGTGCGGCGCGGCGGAGCAGGATGTTGGCCGAGGACGTCTCGGGAAGCAGGAACAAGAGGGAGACGTACACCGGGCCTGCGAGCCAGAGGATCTCCCACAATGACCAATGCCAGTTCGTGGCGGGGACAGAGAAGCCGCTGATTATCGGCCCCAGAGCAGGTCCCGCTGTAGCGAAGGCTGCCCATCCGGTCAGGAAATAGGGGAGCTTGAGGAGTGAGTAGATATCACCAATCGACGCGCCGCCCGTCGCGAGACAAGGACTGCCGAAGAAACCTTGCAGGAATCGCAGAACGATGAGGCCGGGGAAGCTGCTGACAAGGGCGGTGGGAATGCAGAGTGCCACAAAGATGCCCAGCGTCACCATATACGGGGGATTTCGCCCAATGACAGGAATCTCGGACAAGGGTGACCATATCAAAGGCCCGATCCCGTAACCGAGAACGTACATCGACAGACCTAGCGCGGCGACGTTCGGCGAGATGCCCATTTTCTCGACAAGGTAGGGTTCCGAGGGCGTGAATATGGCCGAGCCCATATAGACAGCCAGCGTGTAGAGGTAAATCTGCAACACAACGGTGGCTTTCTTGCCTTGAGACCAGTTCTGCGGATTTTCCGGGTCGTCTGTCGAGTACCAGTCTACGAGAATGACACCATCCGATGTGACTTGAGGGGCAATAGCCCTGCTGGGCTGACTCTTCAGAGTCTCTTGTCGCGTTGCGTTCGTGTAGGCTTGCTCCAAGTCGGCGCGCGTGTTGACTTGACTGAGCTCTGGCCTGGTCATGATCTTCGAGAGTGTGCGGTCTGACGGCGCCATCGACTCCCGATCAGCGGCGGTCCTGGCTTTATCGAGGCTGCCAGCATCATCCGACTCGTCTTCGAGCTTCTTTTCTAGGTCCTCTGGTATGCGTTCTCTGGCTTGTGGCTGCGGCACTGTGCTGGACTTGTCGAACTGCTGATATGTGTCGGGGAGGACATAGCCGGCTTTCTCTTCGGGGTATTGAAGGTATTTGTTCTTGGTGATGTACCGGATGATTTGGCCCACAGGGGCATCCCGGAGAATCGCGGACATGATCAGTGGTGGTTAGCGGTGGCCTATGTCGATATGGGTCTGAGTCGAGAAGAGGGAATCGAGTAGGGGTTGATGGTCTTTGACGACGACGAGGTGTTGAATCACCAAGGTGATTGTATGAGTGTGAGGCAGTAGATGTGATGAGGAGATCAGATGGGACGAGACTCGGGAGGGTGCTATTATACATCTTCCCGTACGGAGTACAGAGCCTTTAGAATCCCAAAGTAGCATCAACACGGACTCATTGTGCATGGTGGAATCAAGCCATGACTCTCCAGCCGGACGCACGGGTTTTGCAAGCATGCATGCATGTTGCGATCTCCGCCGCCCAGATTCTGAATAATCACCAATGCAGAATGGAAGAGGCAAGGCGCAGAAGATGGGACTCGGCCTTGAGCTAGAAGCTTCGTTTACGCACGGAGGGCCAGGGAGGGTCCGGTGGTGACCCATCGTAAACCCAAGCAAGTGGCAGGGGACCGAACGACGACGTGATGCGCGAAATTCTTTCCCATGACAGCAACACAGTTGGGAGCACGCCAAATTCGACCGAAGACAGGAGGAAGAAAGCTTGAGTCGGAGGACAAAGTGATGGGAGCCACAACATTCTTCCGCCGCGGGAAAGACAGCAACGCGCGAGAAATGGCGAATGAGAACGCATGGGAAAACGAAATGGCGTCGCTGCCCTCTCGTAACGCCGTCGTGACCGTCACACGCCGGCGAGGCAATGACGACGGCCAAGAGGTTTTGTAAGCAAGCCACCGAAATGGTGGAACGAGAAGGGAATGACTGCTCGACCGTCCCCACCGTCGCCGCTCATGGTTACTAAACAGTGTTCGTGCGTACTGGGTAGCAGGGAGGGAAAAGGGCATCCAGGTGCCCGAGTACGAGAGAAGTTCTTCGTCCCAACGTGATTATTTCCCGGATGCATCTTTTGTCACAAAACTGCTTTGACACGTCGAGCTTCAGGTCCTGCCGGAGCGTATCACGTAGCCTTCTCCAGACCCGTACCAGGAGATGGAGGGTTCGCTGTCAAGGTCAATACCAGGGACTACAACATGAGGTTCCAGATCACATTGCGATACTTGGGAGACATTCGTACTGCAGCTCGGCTCTCTCCAAACGAAGGGCTTAGGAGGACCAGCGTGCATGAAGTACTTGCCCGTTCCGGCGACAGAAATTGTGTTTATGCAGCTGAGTCACCAGCTGCCTGACACCTAAGAACGAGGTCTCGGGTCGACAGCCATGCTGCAGGGTCTGGCCATGGTCTGGTTTCTGTGGCTGTCCGGAGAGCGCCAATCTGGTTGGCCACAGCCTGTAGCCTCCACGAATGTCTACCCGGGGTCGGCATTCCTGGAACGAAGAAGGTAGGAGTGTTGTGACACAGAGCACAGTTGCAGCCTGAGACTCAGGTGTGTCCCCAAAATGCAATATCCAGTTCTTGACAAGAATGGTTGTCGCTCGATGCAGCTCTATCCCAATCCAACGCCCCTCTGGTTGATATTCTCCAGGCCAGTCGATGACATTTTCCAGCCTCTGCCATTCACGCGTTTAACTCCACCTCGCCGATGCGACACGAGAGACCCTCACAGACAAGGAAGCAGTCCAGCTCTGGACTCTTCCTGAGGACGCTTTGCCGCTTCCTGTGCACGCAGCACCCGCCTAATTATTCCTGTTTGGAGCTGGCATCCGACTCGTGACCTTGCGCCTTGATGTTTTCGCGGAAAACGGTTTGTGCAAACAGTGTCTTCGGCTTCGCGTTCCTGTGTTGTGCTTCTCGTCAGCTACGCCCGTACTGGCGCCGGGGAGATTCGTGGGGGCATCTCAATTCACGTACTTGAACCTCTTGCCCTTGATTTCACTCAATTTCTTGGTTGTCGGGCTTCGAATTGCATCCGAAGGCGAGATGTATGTCTGGCTTGCACCACTCTGATCTTGCGTCTGTGTGCATGCTCGGATCTGTGGCGGCTCGAATCTAGGCATGGCTGTCTTCTGGTCCAGAGGTGAGAGCTTGCCCGAAGATGTTGCCTTTGTTGGTGAGAAGGTATTGGGAGATTTCTCTGCGAGAGGACCGCTCGAGGAGGTGTCTTTGGTTGGAGACATTGTTTGCGCACACTGGCAGTCCGTATACGCTTCCGTCCGCGAAGGATCCAAAAATGGTTGGGATGAGAGAGACCTCGAGGCTCGTTTCGGACTGCGCTAGAGTTGTCGGTGGTCGACGATATCGCTCGGAAGGGACAATATGCACAATGTTATGTCGGAGTTGCAGCCAGAATTCCAATGCACTCGGTGCACGCAGCCAGTGGTTGACCAGGTACCAGGCACCAGGCACCAGAGTCTGGCATCGGTACTTAGTGGAGAGAATGTTTGGGCTGACGTCATGGTCAAATCGTGCGGCGTCTCCGGGCAACGCGCCATGCGTCTCATTCTCATTCTCGCCTCTTTCGCCCTTCACCTGCGCACCTAAGCCAAAAGTGCATGCTTGTGACCAGGGCCAATCTTCAAACAGTTTTCCCACTCCCCAACTAGTCCTCGTCCACAACGGCAACCTCACTGTCTTCTTCCTCGTCCTTGGTGTACAAGAAAAACTGCACAAAGATGGCCATGTCCAACAACAGTGTCCCCAGACTGCCGGCGATCCAACTCGCATTCACGGCAATATACCTCAAATACAGTGTCTTCGCTTCGCCGGGCGCGCAGTGGCCCGGCTTGTGGCAAACAGGCGAATAAGCAAAAATGGACATGTCATACGTCAAATTGCCAATGCAGGCAAATAGGAAAAATAGTAACGAGACACCCTCCGTGCTTTTGCGCTTGTAGTTGAGGAGCAATTGCGGCACCCGTGACCCTAGGTAGAGCACCGCGCAGAGATACCCAAAGACCTGGCCGAGCAGGTCAAACTCCAGAGGTTCAGGTTCGTCTTGCTTGACGTGGTGTCGGGTCCTCTGTTCGCCGATCCACCACCCGAAGACTCCCGCTGCACAGACAAGGAGAATGGCGAAGGCGTTCCACAGGGCCGTCTGGAGTGTGCTGGTCGGCCTTGTGTTGCTGCTAATGGCCGGTAAATCAGTCGCCTTGGGAGGATCGATCAGGGGCGTTGCCGGTGACAGATGTGCACCATCGACGGACAGATGTCGTTGCCACTGCGATATCGATGTCGATTCTGCCCCCGTAAGCGGCTGAGTCGCCGAATCGCTCTGAAGTAAAGGCCGCGTCTCGGCATCGCCGTCCGGGTGAGGCTTGGGTTTGACTTGATCCGTCAAGGTGAAGCCTCGATAGTAGAAAACCTGACCTAGGAGCACGATGTCTGCCAGCGTGTAATAAATGGCGAGGATGATCATCGTCGGCAGGACGCCCTGCAGGATAGCTCCCAAAATGTTGAAGACATCGCCGGCCAGCCACACCACGAGGAAGACGACGGACAGTCCCTCCGCCGAGCCTCGCCGAAAATTCTCGATAATCTGAGGCGAGAAGACAACGACCCAGCAGGCGATGGAGATGGAGCCGCAAATGCCGGACAGAGCCTCGATGTCGAGCGAGGTCCCTTGCTGTGGTGGGAACATGACCGAAGACGTGAAGTCGCGCGAACGATGCAGAAATGAAGAGTCCTCTCCCCCGTGAGATAGAGATCTGTGCGATCAAGCTTGAAAATCAGGAGAAAATGAGCTCCGAGTACTCGTACGGCAAACCCGATCTGTTGGGCGAGAAGCCTCCAAGAAGAGAGACCAAAGAGTCGCAAAGGTGAATGGAATGACGTCCGTGGTGAGGAGAAATCTCTGCAACCTTGACACATCAAATCTGGGGAAATCCCAAGGAAACGAAGCCTGCATCTGACTCTCTCCGCCGCGGCGAGATTCATCCGAAGCTCAACGCAGTAAGAATTCGCGTGCGCCCTTATGCAAGGTACGAGTACCTCGTACGGGGACCGGTACGGAGTAGTCCGGTCCCAAGTTGCGTGCCAGGGGGGTTGTCTATCCATGGAAGAGATCATTGATTTGCAGTCCCTAGCGCCGAGCCATTCTTAGTCCTGTACGAGTATCTCTCAGTGTTTATGGAGAAATGCTCGGTCGAGCAAAGTCGTTCATACCATTATACCCTTTTTGTACCAGTGCCGTGTTTACACCGAGCGGCCGTCGCATGAGACAGAATGTTCACCTGAAATGCTTTTCCCACAGTCGATTTCACAGGCCTTCATAAAGCGTCCTCCAGATCCCCAACCCATTCCCCGATTGATGTCGCCAAAAACCATGAAAGGTCATGCAATTGTCATTACTTCCTTCTGCCGGCACAGCCAAAAAACGCCATGAAACCGCCACCACCCGATCTTTGGCCGTCTTCCGTTTGCGGCTTTTCTTGATGTATGGAACGCGCATTTTCCTCGTCGCCAAGTTCAATACTGCTCAGATCCTTCGTCTTTTCAAGCCACTGGAGATTCTGCTGTGTGCTGATGCCCAGGCCTGCTTCTGCGTTTGTCCCCGGTTTCGATAACCACTGTTTCAACTGTTTCGTGGTGGCCTCGCTGGCTGGGTTCGCTTGCATCTTGCTCCACGTATTGAAGAGGTGGTCTGGAAATAAGTCAGTCCCTAAATCATGCCCGGCAGACACAGACCCGTGTAGCTTACCATATTCAGCCACCACCTTCCGCAGTTCTCGCAGGATCCGGGTTTTGGCCAACATGCGCTCCGACACACTTCCAGACGATGTCGGGTTTTCTAGCTTTTCGAGTTCCTGTTCCAGCTGCGAGATTTCGTCTTGCAAGGACAAAAGTAATCGGGCATGGACGTCGTCGAATCTTCGTAGCACGATCGTATTCTTTTCAGTCATGAAAGACGCCACTCTGGCATGGTCAAAGGGCCGAAATGAAGGCATGGTGGGAGGCAATGGTTCTTCTATGGGCGGCTGCGGCGGCCTATGTGAACCATTGTCGCGGGTCGAAGGTCTTCGACTCTGCATGTGAGCCTCGGGGGGGAGCTGGGGCAGTGGTGTCGTTGGTGCAGGCGTCGGGATCTGCGATTCGTAAATCGTGGATCTCGGGGTGGTTGCACGAGAGTCGGTGGATTTTCTCGACCTGTTGCGTACCGGGGGCTGCTTTGGAATGAGCTCGGCATCGTCAGAGCTCGAATTCCGCTGAGACCGCAGCGAAACGTTCGAGGGGTGTGAGTGAAGCGCACGCTGTCGCCGTTCGGACGCCGTCGACTTTGCAGCCTGAAGTCTCGGAGACGGATCCGGATACTGGGCAAGCTCAAATGGTGGTATCTTGGGAGAGGGCAGATGTTGGGTTGGATTGAAGGTCGTAGATGCCGCCGGGACGCTGGGCAGCAAGCGTGGTGACTCTTGAGGGGTCTGAGGCAGGCTAGGCACCAGCGACGGCCTTCCTGGAGTACTACCAGTAGCTGAGGCCATCGGCTTTCGGTTGTATTTGGAGGTCGGTGGGAGCACTGTGTTTCTTTTCGCGGAGGTCATGGACGACCGGATGGACGGGTTCACCGTCGACTCCACCATCTGTTCCATAGGCTGACTTTGGCGACTGGATGCTCGGTCATCCACCACGCTCGCATTCTCGTTGTCTTCAATGCTGGGCGTGCTGACCATGTCTCGTTGTGTGTCTGCGCCGGCCGAATTCTTTTCTTCGTTCGACCCTGCCGTGGTCGAGGTTGTCTGACGATTATGGCCCCGTGACGCATCTTGGGCGTACTGGATGTGGTTCGGTATGCTGGGCAATGGCTCGACACTGTCGAGGGCGCTTTGCGATCTCGAGTCGGAATCCGAAGCGACACTCTCGGGAGCCATGGAGCTCTTTGAGTAGGCATGAGAAAAGCCCGGTCGTGGTTTGGGCGAGTTGGGCTGCGACGGGAACAGGGAGAAGCTCGCGGGCGGTTGAGGTTGGAACACTTCTTTCTCGGTCGGCGATAACAGTGGTTTGTATGCGGTGCCGTCCAGCACGGGAATCCAGTTGGGATCATGAATATCAACCGGTGTCGAAGTGTTGTAGTACGACCGTCGCCCCGTGGGCAACTCGATGGGGCCTACTGTGGCAGCCATTGTGCAATATGCTCTTTTTCGTCTTCACAATACTCAGTCAATGCCACGAGCAGGTCGTCAGAGGAGTATCGAAGCCGAGAGTCCCGTGCTATGGGTTCGCGTAGGAGTCGCCGCCGGCCATTCTATGCTAAAAGGGTCAAGAACATGGACGCGACAGGCGAAGAACTTCCACGCCGACATTGTTAGCAAGCGAGAAGCGGTATTCCTCACGAGGAGTCCTCCAGCAAAGCACGAGCACAACCGACAGGGAGCGAGAAAAGGCCAACCCATGCCGTTTCTGCCACGGCTAACAGGAACGAGTCCACCCTACTTCCAACCATGACGCTGGGCTGAAGCCACAGGGGCCGAAAGGGAAGTCTAGCAACGGGCGATCACTTCAGGATGCTCGATCCAAGCCCAGCGATACCGCATGGGGACAAGTTCTGGGAGAAGATTGAGTCGGACGCTGGACCGTTGAGTTGTGGAGATCTCAAAGCGGGCTGGCGTAGCCTCATCGAGGGTCAAGCACACCTGGGCAGGCAGGGGGTACTGTGGACGGAGTACGGAGTACGAGTACCGGGTACTGTGGACGGAGTACGGAGTACGAGTACCGGGTACTGTGTACCGGGACTGTGGACAAGAGCAGACGGTCACGACAATCACCGAACAGTCAACAGCACTAAAACGGACATTTCGCTCGGTGCGCCAGGCCGAGGCTCCACTCCAATCACAGACGCTGATCCTCCCTGTTGGGTCCCCGTTCCTGGACTATGCCTCTCCAGGCGAACACAACCTGGCCGGATCACGGCGGGCCTGACGGCTGCTGCTGCTGCGCGTTCAAATTAGAAAACCGAATTCTTGCTGAAGATTACAGGACAAGGAAAGAAGCGATATTGTCCTTGCTGATGGGCTTGCATATTCCGCAAATAACGAGATTTGATTTTTATGGTGTGTCCTCAGTACTACATGTTTGTCTCCCCGTGCTGGATATCGGCATGGGACGGCATGACAAGGGATGCTAGAAGGACGACAGTCAACGAACGACTTGACATTGACGTGCACGTGCGACAAAGTACATAGTACCCCGTAGGTAAAGTTGACAGGTGAAGCAACGGCCCCCGGATCCAGACTCTTGTGCCTGGAGTGACTCCCGGCCAGCAGCCCTCGTTGTGCCCCAAACGAGCTAAGCGTCGCCGTTGACTTTTGCGGCAGGGGCGTCTTTTCCGCGCTGGTGCGTCTCTTTCAAATTGGCCTGGTCCCCATCATGACCGTCGAGTCGAGGCACTGAGTTCGCGACATACAGTACGAGTACACAGAGCCCACCCAACCAGAGTTACTGTGTACACAGTACGGAGTACAGTACTCCGTAGAGAGCGAAGCATTCCTGCCGAAGCCGACCGGGTCCAAATCTTCTGTGGCGTTACGAAGGATGACAGCTTTTACCCACCAGTTACATGTCCTTCAGTACAGTAAGAGATGTATCATCAATAATTGTCGCTCGGAAGGGCAATTTGACGATCAACCCAGCTGTTCTAATCTTGAACGTAAGGAAACTTCCTACTGTCGCCGATCGGCATACGAGTACTCCGTACTTCTCTACGGATTAGCCTTCTACGGTAACAAGCGAACTCCTCGCCAATCTCCCTCTCCGTACCCTCCCGATTTCATGTCCATCGTCGTCGCGAATGGCTTTGCCCTTCACGCATCGTCCTCGCCTGTCGAAAGCTGCGCAGAGATCTGAAGTCGTTCAATAGCGTGCTGACGCCTGCACCGCACTACGGCACATTCCCAAGGATCGTCAGGTAGCAAGACCTCGAGGATGTGCACGCGGCACTGTGCTGATGGGACTTGAGCGAACAGCAGGTCGGCCTCCCTGGGGAGCTCCGGTAGAGGGAAGTCGTCCTCGGAGGGGTCTGGTCTGTGGAGGCCGCCTTCGAGAGCGGTCACCTTCCTCACGATATTCGCCACCAAGACGGCATCGTAGATCCCTTCTTTGCGTGGTTCCTCCTCGAGCAATCTGATGGCGTGCACCCTGAGGCGACGCACGCGACATTTGACCGCGACATAGTACAGTGGGGTGATCAGTCCCATGTCGCCGATCGAGTGCGGGAGCCCACCTTCTGGTCCGAAGTATTTCTCGCGAATCTTGCCGTTCAAGGCGACCTTGCGCATCTCCAGCGCTTGTTCTATGATGGACAGAAAATGGGCCGTGTGGCGGTCGTATTGTAGTTCGTCGTCGCACTCGCACGCCGTGTCTGCCATGATGACGGCCATGGTATGATACATGCGGAGCACCCGGCATGCAAAGGCTTCCACCTTGTCCATCTGGGACTCGAGCAGGGCGAGGGTGCTGTCGTAAGCGGACGCCCAAGCATTTAGGTCATCCATGAGACCTTTGACGCAGAGTCGCCGTGCATCATCTGCTTCGACGGGTTCGGGTGAATGCATCACATCGCAGATCTGCAACAGGATCCGCTCCAGATAGTCTCTCGCTTCGTGCGCGTTCAAGAAGATGGACGCCCCCGAGATGGGCTTCAAGTCGCTGGGAAACGGCCACGCACGGCACGGCCGCTGTCCAAACAAAACCGCCTGCACGTACAACTTTTTGAACACGCCCCGAACCCAATGATCGATGGCCTGAGCCCCGAAGCGACTCGACCCCGAAGAGAGACTGTGCGCGTACTCGAGCATCCTGAGACCATGCTCCAGATGACTTGCCGCCCGCTGGTACCGACTGCGGAAGTACTCGACCCAGATGAACGCGAGACACGAGTAGAGCGCGATGCGCAGCGACGTGGTGTCGCCGCCGCTCTGCAGGTGCGGCCGCAAATGCCATATCGCCTTGTTATACTGGCGCAACGCAAAGTCTTCCTCGCGTCGCAGCAGAGTCGGTGGCCGTGACAGTCGTAGCGGCCCCTTCTTCCCACCACCACCGTTACAAACAGCTTTATCCGAGTCCCGATGTGCAGAACACATGGCCAACACGCCGTGCGTGACCGCCACGTCGCTGGCACAAGCCTGGAAAAACAGCGCATTGCCCGCGTCCGAGAAGAAAGCCCCCGGGATTTTCCGCGCCGTCCGCCGCCAGAACCACTCGAAATGGTATTGTTCATCCGGATTCAGCGCGCGAGCAGGGTGGACGGGCAACGACGACCTCGGCCGTCCATAGACAGAGGTCGTGCATCTTTCTAGAGAACCGGCGGCTGCGGCAGCGGCGGCGGCGTCCTCTGGCTCCTGTGGCTGCCGAGGACGCCACCGTGGTTGGGACGAGCTTTTGTTCGCACTGCTGCTGCTGCTGCTGCTGCTGCTGCTACCGCCGCCGCCGCCCCAAATTCCGTAGCCGTCACATGTCCGGCCCGTGGAAACGCAGCGTCGACAGGCCGGGCGCTCTTCTCCACACCGGACGCGTCGTATCTTGCAGGTCTTGCACCCGGTTTTGGATTTCGTCCGGGTCGGCCGCCGCGGCGGCGGCATCGGCGACGCTCCCTGTGTACATGACATTGTGGGGATTGGGTGAGTGGTGCGGTATGGTATGTACCTAGGTATGCTTACGCTACCATATTTGGTTGATCAGCTTTAGTTGCAGCGCAGCTAAAGGAACAGGTCAGATCAGATCCTCAATCGTAGAGGTTGCCTCGGAGAGTTTCGCCGTCGTAGAATTTACTGTACTGTATCGTGAGGTTGGAGGGGGCCACTATTCCTCCAAGGTGATATTTCAAGTCGAGGCACAGTCGCTGCCTTGGGAGTGTGACGTGGCACATAATTGGCTCACTATGAGGGCCTGATTCTCCGCGCAATGACGAAGAGGAGAAGGCCAGTCTTCAAGCACAGCAAGGCATCTGTCCCACTGAGCCAAACACTGTCATTGTACAGCGAGCACGAGCATACGGCATCTTGTCCGTGCCTGGTGTACAGTGGGCATCGCTCATTTTATACCTGCCTTGGTGACAGTAAAACGGGCATCCTCATAAGCTCTCGTCTTCGTTCGTTTCGTATGTATTGCGCCTATTCCACCAGCCTTTGCCTAGCCAACAAAACGAGGGGTATCTATCCACAGTGGTCGTCGCCAAAAGAAATGTCGTAAACACTGTACCGAATGATGCATGACACGTGGCTTCGACATTCAAGCCGCATTGTATGTTGTCTCCATCCTGTCAATCTCTCCCAGAACTCCCGTTGGTACCTATCCCACATCGAAAGCGCGAAAAGTAGGCGGGTATCGCATCCCTCTATGGACACCCTGGTCGCTTGTATTGCATGTGTAAATCCTTCAGGGTACCCAAGCGACGCCGCATATATCGTAAGAAAGTATCAAATCAGCATACCGGATGTTGTGACTTGTGAGAACGTCTGCGGCGTGCCGCACCCCATCGCCGATGAATTCGAAGAGCGCGTCGCAGCTTCTGAGCTCCCGAGTCAGAGCGCCGTTGCTATTTGACGTCTGTCTGGTGCAAAGAAGGCGCCTCGCTATCAGCGTTGCTGCTTGGATTCGTGCTCGGCGGAATCGAGCTGCGACTGCTCGTGGTGGACGTCGGAGGAAGAGGGGGAGGCCCATTGTTCCCAAACAGGAGCTTTTCAATGGCAATGACCTGTTTGCCGTAGCTAGTGCGACGCAGCATGGGGTAACTGTGCTCCATGTCTGCCCTCAAGGCCAGGAGCTTGGCCCCTTGCAGTTGATTGAAGACCTTCTCTGCGATCGAGTTAGCATGAGCGAGACTTGGCCGAGATATACGACTTACGTAACACATAGTTACCATATTGATCTCTCATCAGTCCCAGCACAGGCGTCACACCCTGGTCGTTGGGTGCGGTCAACCCACGAAGGATCTGTTCCCGTTGGTCCTCATCTGCACAATCGATGCTCTTCTCGACGATGTTGCTGGCAAACTTGTGCTTGGAGAAGCCTAGGAGCTGTGACAGGATGATATCCACAACTTGTCGCCGGTCGCGAGGCTCTCCATTTTGGATGATGTGTTGCACAACGTAGTTGCCGTAGGAGTCACTGATGAGTGGATGGATATGCTCTAGAAGCTCGTCCAAGATCACCCGCTTGGCCGTCGGTTGGCAATATTCCAACATCCGCTGGACCACGCGACACCCATACTGATGAGTTGACATCTTTGCCATTTGCCCTCGATGGGCGTCAACGATGAATTGGATATGCTCCCCCGGTATCCGCTCAATGGCCTTTTGTACAACATGATTGCCATTCTGATCTCGGACAACCTTCAGAATTTGCATGTTAGGACCATCAAGTTCTTTGACAAGGCTCGCTTGCTGATCGGTCAGGACGTGTTCAAATGCTTTCTGTACCACACGACATCCATACATCTGCATGGACAAGTGAAGGACGTGACCTTTCATATGGTGGGCCAGGATCTTCTTCTGTGTTTGGTTGCCATGTTCGAACATTTTCTGGATCACGTAGTTTCCGAACACATCAGTCATAAGTTGAAGCAGGTTAGGCTGGATCTCCTTGAAGACCTGCTCCTTTTCATCACTGTTGGCAGTCTCGAGCTTTTGCTGGATGAATCGTGACCCGTGTTGGTCACCACTGAACTCGACGACATGGCCGTAGATGTCTTTGAGCTCAAATTTTCGATTGTTTTTGCTGTTCAATCGGAAGTCTTCCAGCAGAGGACTTCTGACAACGTGAGGCTGCTCCAGCTCGCGAATAGGCATGCGAGGGCCAGTCGGGTAGTTGTGCATCGAGGGATGGCCGTGGCTGACATAGGGATGTGCGAGGGGATTCATCCGCAATGGTTGACCAGATGTCTGAGCATCATACTGATAGGCAGTAATCGCTGGTGGCGGGACAGAAGTTGGACCAAATAGCGACTGGTCGAATCCGTACTGGTCAGGGCCGGCAAATTTGCGATCAAGGACGAACTGGTCATGATGAGATGTGCGGCTGGATACACCGCTTCCAGGTGTGCTCTGAACCGACTGCGGTCCCGTGGGGGGCGTACCTGCCGCTGAATAGTACGGACTGTTCAGGTTGCTTCGGTAGTCGTTTGGGAGTGGGGGTAGTGAGCCGCGACCTGCATATTGGAAGCCACCATACTGATGAGGTGGAGCTTGAGGGTTCAGACGTGATCCAACGTCTTGTACACGAGGGTTTGCTTGATGAAATGTGCTGTCCAGGTGGTCATGATGAGCAGAGGATTGAGAAATGTCTCGCTGAAACTGTGACTGGTGGATCGGCATCCGTGGCGGGAAGGCTCCGACAGTCGCCTGAGCCAAGGTCATGGCTCCGTAGGATTTGAGTATATCATCATAATCTTGGTTCGCAGCTGGAGGATACTGATCCACATGCTCGAAATTCACAAGGCGGCTATTGAGCTTTCCATGTATTGGCGATCTAGGTCCGTGCTGGTGTAAGGTCTCGGATGACATCCCATTCATCGGTATGTGAGAGCCAAGTCCATCGAGGTATGGCGACATATCTGAAGTCCCCTTCAAATGGGTGATGCTGCTGCCAATACGGTTGTGACCATTCTCATTCTCCTGGACCACAGAGAAGGCCCCATTATGACGGAACCTGCTCGAGTTGAATGCCTGGATCTGGGGATCGAGCTGACTTGAGCCGAAGGTAGCCGCCCGGGACGGGGAAGGGATCGCTCGAGAACCAGCCGCTGCAAGAGCACGCCTATGATTCTGTGCTTGGTGGGCATCTGGAATGTCGTCCACGTCCGGATCACTGCCAGCAAACAAGCTGGGTTGTTCATTTGTCCCGTTCGAACCGTGAGCCACAAATTCCAGAATCTGGTTCTGTCGTTGTTTCGTTGGTGACAGGGGTTGGCCTTTTTGCCGGGTTGAAAAGCTAACGGAGGATGACATGGAGCTCCACGACATTTTGGATTGGGGGACATTTTCATTGTTGATGTCCGTCGGCGTACGCAAGGACGATGTGACGGTCTTGATCTGAGCGTAATTTGAAAGCGAGCCTTGACGGACAGGAGTTGCTGGAGAAGGATTAGCGGATATGGCTTTGTGGTTTGCCCACAACTTACGCCGCATCGGGTCGTCGTCGACAGCGCCGTCGAGGAACGACTTGGAGGTTCCCCAGATCCGGCTCGAAGCATTCCAAGCGTTCTTTCCCAGGTCATAATCGGCCTTTGTAGACAGTCTCCGCTCGTATGCTTGTATCCTGCCGCCTCGTGTCTGAATGCCTTGGTCAGCCCCGCCACCCTTGACCAGGGGAGGTATACTCACGGCTTCAAACGTGGTACCGCCTTCCATCATAGTCATTGTACAGGGCAGCCGAATTTGGAGGAATAGAAGAATGGCGGTGGTCCTCTGAGGGATACTTGTAACCGGATCGGTGGGGGCGACGCAGAGGATCTTGACCGGTATCCCTGGGCTCGCAATGAATGGAAAATAGGTTATGGACTGTCGCACCAGTATGTGGTCAGTTCCCGTGCCTGAGATATGAGGGTTGGAGTCCAAAGAGCGGAATGTGTACCAGAAGCGAGAATATGTAGGGTGAGCATGTACACCAGCCCCAAATTATAGTCAACCCCCGTTGTAGATACAAGGAGGAGAAGGGAAGGAGGCCGAGAAATTACAGACGAAGGAGGTGGTTTCGGTAGGAAGCAAGGTTTGGCAGAGTCATGTACCCCTTCGTTCGCCAGCAAAGCAATGGCACAGTTCTGTCCAGCAGGCAGCCGCAAGGCAAATGAGAATCAAGGCCGACGCCTGATCGCGCCGTAGACGGGTAGCCGCAGAAGGCAGACGAGGGAGCATCTGCCAGCAGACATGCGCCTCGACCGCGGCTCACGCATGGAGCAGCAAGGGATGCGTGAAATGATGGGATGTTGACGGTCTGGTGGAATGTTACGACGCCAGGTTTGTGCAAGGCGAGTCGCAAATGTTGGCGGGGCGCAGGTGGGTTTTGCGGCGAGGCACGAGGAATGGCGGCGGCCAGGGTGGAGCATCCAAGGGCAAACAAAAACGCGGCCGCAGAAGGGATAGAATGGCGGAGAGGAAGCGCAGCAGAAATGCAACAGAGGTGACACAAAAGGACTGGCACGCACGCATGTACCGGTGAGCGAAAAAGATGATATATCACAAAGTCTCGCATGGGCATGGGAGAATCAGATAGGCTGTCGATCTGGCTGTCTGGTTTACCCCAGAAGGACCAACACTAGGTAAGAACCGTCAGGCCGAAGGGGTGCCTAAACTCAATCCAGCTTCACCAAGTGGAGTTTCTGTTCGTTTGATCTGTTCCGACTCTCGGGTGGCTTGCCATGGTCACAGGCGAGTTCGGGTGTCCAACAGCCCAAGAAGACGATCATGGTCACGGTTTCCTCTACCGACAACAGCCTGAGCGTTTCATGATCGTGGCTTTTCTTTGATCCCATCATGGGCTGTACGGCATGTTCGCAAGGACATCGAGTTCAGCATGACACTGCCCACCTCTACTGTGACTGCGTTCAACCTCTTTGAGGCACCAGGCTGATGGGGCTGACTCAGAGATGACGCGCGAAGTTGTGTCTGGGCCCCCAGCGGGGAGAGGCATACTGTGTACTGCACGCTCTGTCTGGGAGGATGATGGCTGTGTGCACCAAGACGAAAATGCTTTCTTTGATACAAGGATTTCGCAAGCTTGTCGTTGGGAGACTACTTATGCAATCCAATGCAAGAGTGAATCGTGGGAGCAACACAGCGCGAACAAGGTTGTTCGTGGCTTGTTACTGCCAGTGCCAGTGCTGCCCAACAAGATGCGTGCTTGGTGCCTGTGGCGGGCCGTTACGGAACGCTGTTCGATCGTTCTGGCAGCCCAAACTCACTTTTCCGTCGAGGGGGCAAACAGATGGTACTCTGTCCAGTAACCAGTGTTTGTTGCTCTCCCAAACTGCGTGTCATCCCAGATTCGAGCAGTGTACGCTCATCCATTACTGCCGCGTCGTACGCTGAAAACAGCTGAGGAGGTAGGTATGATTCTCGGATCCGCGCATAGATATGTACAAGCAAATAGCCTCTGAGCCTGGGCCGGGCTCGCCGCAGACCCATCATGACGCAGCGACCGTTCAATGTATGACTCGAAATGAGGCATCATTGGCGATTTAGGACCAAGCGCCCAAGGCATACTGTAAATGAATGCTCAACAAACTGCAAGGCGGCAATTGCAGACAGCGAAGCTCCATATTACTTTGGTCGAGCAGCCGTCGTTGGGGTAGGTTGTAGCCCCTGCCATGAGCAAACAGATGGTGGAACACGACGCAAGGGACAGGATCGTGTTTCATTTGACCACCGTAGCCTCGCAACTCAACCCGTGGAAAGGGTGATGGCTATATAGCCCACAAGCATGAGATGCTTCCTGTCGCGATTTATACTCCATCAGTGTCCTCCACACACACGACCCAATTTCAGCGGCGGAACATGTGAAGAAGCAGAGGAAGGCCTCGAAGGCTAATTTGTTTGTTGATGAATTGCCGTTTGCAACGGGGCCGCCTGAGATCGGTGCATTAGACTGGATCAGCTCCATCTCACACGACCAATGCAGCCTCCGACCGCCGATCTGACGCGGCGCAGTGGAAATCATTGGTCGAATAACGCGCCGGAAGAGATTGATCTCCTAGCAAAGATAAGCAGCGTGACCAGTTGGTGCCGTGGCATCTCGGCAAGCGTGGGCTAAGCGGGCGCTGTGGCTTGCAAAGGCCTGTGCGGGTCTAGAGGGAGCAACAGCACTGGCCAGACCTGCCCAGTCGATGGGCGGTCATTTGGGAGGTGGGCTTGTTGTGCTCGTCGGCCTTCGCCAACAACATCCGTTGCACCTGGGAGGCCGCCCATATTCATTCGGCTCCTGGTTGCTCTTTCTCATTCTTCCCTCGCTCACTGTCTGTTCGTGTTCTGCTCAGTTACGAACCTCCCCTTCCTTACCACCCATTCTCCTTCCTTTGGCGGTACCAGCTTCACTCTTTCAGCTGGTATTTGCTGTCCCATCGTTTTGCAAAAATCCCACAGCCGCCGATCACGGTCTTTCCCTGGTGTAAAGACTAGAGGCATTGACATCTTACCCGGACTTCCTGTTGACTGTGCATTGGTGTCGGATCCTACACAGTACGGAGTACGCGCAATCAACACCCTCTTATCAGGCGTCTTGCGTACACCTCTGACGTGCGGCGAACAGCAAGAGGCCCCCAAAATCCATCCCGCAATATCGCAGTTCTTGCGTCCGATTCTCCGACCAGGCCGGCTTCAGCTCCAACCCCGGATCTATATTCGTCTACGTCCTCGAAGGACGCCTCGGTAGCTCACGACGGCTGCAGTGCTGATAGTCATGAGCTCATTAAAATACACCTACCTAGCACGTCGCGATGGGTCCGACTTCACAGACCACGACGCACCGTACTCGATGCATCAACTACTGTTCGTCTTGTTCACCTTGTTGCTGGTGGCTTCGCTCTGCTCCCTAGCCTTGGTTGTTCTTCGTCGAAAGCGACTGGCAAGAGAACATGCCTCGATGCTGCCAATCCATCACCAACCATCACACCAGCGCTCGCCCTCTGTAAGCAATTTTAACTACGGCAAGAACGACTCCGTCTTCGTATACGACGAGAAAATGAACCTCATCCACAATTCATCAAGCCCAACTTCAGCGGCCGTCCCCGAGATCCATATCACTTTCCCCGACGAAGATGGCAAATCTGGCTTGCAGCAGGGCCGTGTGGTTGTCGTCCACGTTACTGACTCTGGGAGCGTTGGGATGGAACCGCTCCGCCAAGAAAACCTGCCACCTTATCAGAAGGAAGATGCCGATCGATTCCAGTCGCTCGATCTCGAACGCATAGGCGGGCTGAGGGAAAAGGAATCCTCAGGCCCACGGTTCTCATGAGATGGAAGCCTACGGCGCCTTGCCTGGATATCCGGAGTGGCAGAGAGCTGTTGAGCTCCTATCTTGTTTTGCGACGACGATACATGTCGGTAATGCTTGGGATTGCGCCGAATGCCAATGGGGCGCCACGCTTCTCCGGCATCGCCCGACCACTGTACAGCGGGCTAAGCTGGTCCGGCGAAGTGTTAATAGACCGATCCTTCTTGGGATCTTGTACATATTGTATAGTACGCGAGCTTTGGCGTTGACGGCGAGCGCGCCGGAATGCCAGCTGTTGATGAGCACCTTCGGTGCTGCTCGCTCCACTGCCCTTTCTGATGTCTCAAGCTTCAACACATTGCAGTGGGACAAATCTGTGTGGGTTCCGTGACTTCCTGCAGCTAAACTGATGACTGCAGGTTGCTCCTGCGACACCACATTTGACGGGGACATGGCTAGGAACCCTGAGTAGTTGCTCCTACGATACTTGCTGTGGTAGAAGAGAACCTTGAACACAAAACGAACGCAGGAAATCGTTTGAGCGCCGCAGTCCCCAGGCTATTACATCCGGTGCATACCAACGCGAAAAAGCATTGCTGAACACGGCAGGCACCTGCTCGCCATCGAGTGCTTGACCGCACTTTCGGCACGGTGCTCTCCAAGTCAGACTGCATCGCTCCCCACAAGCACCGCATTTGACCACGGCAACTCCTCTTGCCCCAAGAGCTCCTCGAACACAAGCTCGACAAGCCAGTCCCTGCGCAGCTCATACATCATCACTCTCACTATCGTTACCACCAGACATTCATTGCAATTGTTATTCCTTGTCCACTGTGTCGCGCAGAAAGCTTCCACGTGTCACTGGTCAGCAAAGAACCGGTTTCCAGCATCTCCACCAACCTCCAAACGCGTCCCAGCATTGACCAATCACGACGTCTTTCTGCCCAAGTCCGCATTTCGTGTGTTGACAGGCTGAACAAACACTGGCACGCCTGCTCAGTCGAGACCCCTCTGTCTTTGAAATCACGTCAAGCTCCCCAGGGAACCCCCTCGTCGTTCAATCCTGAGCGCCAGTGTGTCTTTCGGTCTCTCTAGGCATGACCTCAACTGTGGCACAGATGCACTTGGAATAGCACCACGCTCCGCCATTTCGATTGTCTCACCTCTCCAGACCTGCCGTCATGGCAGCCGCAGCGGTAGCAGGGAGCGATGACTCCCTCAACAACGGCCTCCACGCGTCGGTCGATGGCATGACGGACCCTTTCGTGGACGATGGCCAGTCGAGACACTCATCTCACGCCCACCGCTACTCTAGTCTAGTCGACCCCGAATCAATAGCCCTCGGCGCAAGCATGTCGCCATCGCATGTCAAGCGCAGTCTGGTGGCACACCTTGCTGAAACCGAACGCCGGCTACAAGATACACAAAAGCTTGGAGAGTCTCTGCTCCTGCAGCAGTCGGAACTCAATGACAAATTGCGTGAAGTGGAAGAGCAGCAAGGCGAGGCGGAGATTACTCCCGAACTGCGGCAACGACTGGCCGAGCTAGAGAAGGAACACAATGATGTTGGGAAGGAGATCGCAAGAGCACTGCTGGGCCCCAAATCTAGAGCTGTTAGTGGGGAAGAGAAGCCGGGATTGGAGCCATCAGTGTATGCAAGCCAGGCGACGGCATCTCCATCGAAGGTAATGGCTCCCAGTCGACGGCAACGGAATCAGCCCAGCAATCGTGGGGATGATCTCCAACTTGCCGCCGATATCAGTACCTCACTCCTCGCTCAAGTGCGCCAGCTCCAAATGGCGGTGGCCGAACGAGACGAGCTTCTGAAGGAGGCCAAGTCGGAGCGCGATCGGCTGGAGAAGGAATCCGCCATACATACCCAGCGCCTGCGAGCTCTTGATGAAAGCGAACAAAAGTATAAGGACGAGAACTGGAATCTGGAAACGCAAACCCACGAACTGCTTGCGGCTGCCCGTGAGGCTGCCGATCGCGAAAAGCGGCTAAATGCCACCTTGGCGACTACGACGGCGGAAAAGACCCGACTGCAAAGTGAGATGGATGAGATCAGGGTTGCCTATGAAAAACTGTCAACTGACCACGCAGCGGCCAAGAAGGCTCATGATTCCGAGCTGCATACGCTCAAGCGTACAATAGATTTGGGCGATAGTGACAGGTCATCTCTACAGCACAAGATCGAGGAGTTGACAGCCCAAAATCAGGAACTCGCCCGAGCCGTTGCTGCTCGCATCCGCACTGCCCAGCCGGAGATGGCTCCTCTGACCGATGAGCAAGAGGAGAGTCTGGAAGATGTGGACCCCCTGGAACAATCACCGCCCCCGTCACCTACGAAGGCTACTCCAAGACCTGGAGCGTTGGAGTCAGAGACGCTACGCAGCTCGCTACACCATGCACACCGAATGATTCAAAACCTGAAGAACAACATTCACCGTGAGAAGACGGAGAAGATCGAACTCAGACGGATGCTCCAGGACGCCAGGGACGAGCTTGAGCAACGGCGCGGAGACAGTTCCTTTGGAAGCGGGAACAAACGCCAGAAGACCAAGTCGGACACTTTCAAAAAGCAGATTCGTCCTGACATGCTGGGAGGCAGCCGGCGGGCTCGAACCGATGTCGAGCTTGAAGATGAAGACTGGGAAGATCACACCGTCGACACGCCGACACATGGGTTCGCTCCGAGGCATCTGGCCGTGCCAGGCCGCGGCGAAGGCACCACAGACGCAAGCGATGCATACCAGACTGCCAACGAGACAGAAGGTAACTTCGAGACGGCGGATGAAAGGCAGACCACGGAGAGCGAGGACTTCCAGACCGGCGCAGAAAGCCTGGCTGGCGACAGCACAGATGATCTCACCGAGACCGAAGATACAGCCTCGCATCGAGCAGGTCCTCGTCACGGTCCGAGACCGACTCTCACGTTCAGGGCTGCCGGCGATCGGCAGTCATACATTAGCACTGCCTCTGATGACGATGAGCTCAAGACCCCTGTTGTCACTCAGACTCATAAATTCCGTCTCAGGAACGGGCGCCAATCATTGGCTCGGTCTAGGGTGCCTACTGATAGTACTCCCACGAACTTGGACCCGGAAACTCCTTTGCAAGATTCTCCAGCAACTGTCACGAGTGAACGCAGTCTACCTGCTGGACAAAGCCTGTTCGCAGAGTTGGGCGAACTTGATGAAACCACCAGCTTCGGCACTCCAAGCAGAGTAGCTAGCCTCGCTTCGGCAACGTCGACGCCCGGCATTCCTACCTATACACCAAGCAGACGGGTCACTCAGCAAGAGGCGCCAAAGAGCGCTGTGAAGGTGGCAATGGTTGATGCTGGGACAATGACTGAGGTGCCAGAGCCGGAACCAGGTCTTGTCGCACCCGTGGCTCCTGGGAACGTCACCGAAGTGCCTGTGGCCGACAACACCAGAGCGCAGTCGCCGCTTCCCTCCGACTTTCCCCTGCCTCCAACAGTTCCCACTTCGCCGGTCAAAAACACCGACCACAGCACTCAATACACTCCGCAGACAAGTCCGATCAGGAACACTGCTTTCATCACTCCACCAAAGACTGTCTGGGATGAGGCACAAAGTCCAGAAGCTGACCGCGTAGAAGACGTGGCTGCACCTCAGACACCTATGCGATTCGATTATTCCGGCCTGGTAATGCACGACACCACGCCCGCGTCCCCCGACACCCCTCAACATCTCCTGCCGCCCGAACAAAAGACCCTCACCTTCTCCACGATTCAAGCTCAAGCGACTGAACCAACTCCCCCCATACTCTCCTTTACCGGCGTCAGCGCTGCCACCCAATCTGATGACCTACCGGGCTCCCCTCGAAAGGCGGAGAATACAACAGGAGCTGGTCTACTTGCTTCCGCTGCTGCTGCCTTGGGCTTCGCCAAACCCAAGGACAATTCTGGCGCTGTGGTGGCGGAAGATGAGACCAGTGAGCCTGAGAGGGTTATGAATCGGACGACCCCTGAAAATGATCTCCCTCTCCAGGACATATCTGGGAATAGTGTCGCTTCGAAGGCGGTTACACCACGTCTAGACAAACAGGATCAAGAACGACGGCTGCCGGTTACTGCCAGGCATGACCAGTCCTCTCAAACACTCCTCACTGCCTCGCAGATCGAGGAGGCACTCCGACCTAAGACCGCAGTCCCTATTCCTCTTCCTGAACCTGCGCAGCCAGCACAGAGTGCCACGAGGCCGATTAGCCCAACGCAGACAACAGAAGGGGCTCAAACCTATGACCAGGATGGCTTAGCCACAATGAAGCAAACCGTAGATCTTGGGCCAGCTGTTGCCGCCCCTATGCCGTCGCCGGTCAAGCGCCCGTCGAGTGTGTCAAGCCGACGGACATCCTTTACCGCAACACATCCTCCTCTCCCGTCAGACCACAAGGAAGCCATCGCCAAGGCTAGCGAACGTCCCCTATCGCCGGCAAAAGAACTTAGCAGGGCGACGGTTATGGGCCCGCCTCTTCTTCCCGCCTCGGCCATGCGTCGACCTCGTACGCCTGGAGAATCTGTGCGCTCGCCGACTCGGGACAGCAACGCTCCCAGAACCTCTAATGTCAGTCGTACTCAACGTGGCACTGTCACGTCTCAGTTGTCTCATCGTTCATCGGTATCATCATTTGCCTCTGAAATTGACGAAAGATTCAACATGCACCGAGGTGGCCAAATGTCCGCTCATGGCTTCGGTACGGACCCAAGAATCATCCAGGCTATCACCCAGACGATGATTGGCGAATTTTTGTGGAAATACACACGAAAGGCTGGCCGTTCTGAAATGTCGGAGACGCGGCACCGTCGGTATTTCTGGGTGCATCCCTACACCAAGACACTGTATTGGTCGGATCAAGATCCACAAACCGCTGGCAGGACAGAGCTGAAGGCGAAGAGCGTGCTGATAGAGAGCATCCAAGTGGTGCCAGACGACAATCCCATGCCACCTGGGCTTCACAGGAAGAGCCTGGAAGTGGTCACTCCGGGGCGACGTGTAAGATTTACAGCAAGTACAGGCCAAAGACACGAGACCTGGTTTAACGCACTCAACTATCTGCTCCTCCGTGGGGAGGAACAGCAATATTCTGCCGGCGGCAATGACATTACCAGAGATGACCTCGACGAATTCAACGTCAACGGCGCTGGTTATGGTGCCACGTTGGTACCAGGAGGCAGCCGCATGAGTCTTTCTAGCTACAACTCTCGGACAACTCGTGGCTCAGCTGCCCAACGACAGCAGCTCCCAGCCGGACTGGTTGCCTCCAGCAGCACACCTAGCATGCCCCGGGGGTCTTTGGCGAGCCGAACAGCACCTAACTCGACTGTGCGAAGAAGCCGTGCCGAACAATCCCAGGATGCGGACAAAGACCGCACAGTTCGCGCTAGCAGTGTGAACCGCTTTTCACGTATGTTGGGTTCAGTAACGGGCCGTACCTCGAGAATGAGCGAGCCGCAACCTGTCGCCACTGCTCCTACTGTCGGGCGAACGAGAAGCGAGGGTGGAAGTATCTACGACGCTAGCGTTGTCAGTGATGGCCACAAAGACTCTGCCGAGGAGTTGAGACAGGAGATGCTGCGGCAGGAGGAGGCCATCTGGTCGGGAGGGCTGGAGAATGTACGAGCTTGCTGTGATGGTACGTCTAATCTTCAAGTGGGCTGTTTAGTGCCAGAAAATGCTGACAGTAAATCTAGGCAAACACGACGTCTCGACACTCAGTCACAGCCATCGCCACGCTTCTACCGGTGGTCAGGGCCATCGAAACATAGGCGCGAGTTTCAGTCTGAGAGGATCAACGAGACGGCGAGAGCAGAGCTCAACGCCGGGCCCAGCTGCGCCTTCAGCGGCATCAGCGATGACCGCTACTACACCTACGAGACAGGCGGCTGCCGTCACGGCGTCATAGAGGGCGTCGCGGCTGTGTAGATCCAGACTGTTGGACGGGGTGCGATGATTGACACCATTTTTTTCACCGGCTTCCTTCCTTTGGACTCTTTTCCTAGTTGTCGTGAGAAAAGTCTTCGGATCTTCGACTTTGGACACATCAGGCCCACTCCTACTAGATTTTTTCCAACGTCTTTGAAATGCCTTTTGCGAGCATCGCAACGAGTTGCCTTGACGAGTTCATGATGGGCTGGAAGGGGGATTGAAGCGGTGTTTGCCAGATGGATGGGCTTGGGGCATGGGTAAGGGGGGGGTTTATGGATGGCTGCATGTTCGCAAAATCTCTCTCTTCGCCAGTGCATAGTACGTAACGTCATTGTCCAGAATGAATTTCGAGATGATTGCATGCGCTCTTTACAAATTGCTCGCTCTACGGTGCCCCGTCGTGCCGGCCCGTTGTGATAAAGCTTTATATTGGATGCTGGTGAGTCCTTCTTCTCCAAGGGTCCCCTGTCCGCCACCATGCTAGGTCCCGTCCACAGTACGGGAGTACTGTATCTGTGCGCAAGGTATGGATGGGGAAGGTGTTGGTGCACCTGGACTTTACGGAAGCCGTACAACAGAGTAGCCGTACAACGGAGTACAGCACACGCAAACCTACGTCGCTAGGCCATTCATTCATTCATTCGTCATTTGCTTCGTGGTACTGGTGTTACGGAGTACATCTCTGATACCCCCTTCAAACGGCTCAGTCCATGCCTCGTACGTACGTACGTACTATACTGCAGTTGGCCGCGCCGTCTTTTTCTGAGAAATACCGCCTGTAAAACCTCTCACTGCCAGCCTGTCTCGAGGAGAGCGCCTCTCTTGCCCCCTCATCCTCTCTCACACACCACAGACACACACACACACGCACTCTCTCTCTCTTGTCCCCTTGGATCTGTTCCGGCCTGTCATGTTCTGCGTATCGCCTTCCTTCCTCTCCCTCTCCCTCCCTTTTTTCCCATAGCTCGTATGAGTGTCGACTCCGAGACGCAGTGTACCCATGCTTGTGGCCCTTTCATGTGCACCGTTCTTCCCTGCATGTCGCTCGGGGCGCCGTTCAACCGCACGGTGCGTGGGCTGCAAGTCCTCCGATGTGCCACGTTTTTGGATTTTCATCTTCTCAGGGGTCCCGGAGCTACAAGACGCATATTAGGTGACTGGGTCTTTGCAGGATGGGTCTTGGCGTCTTTCATGCTGTGGCGGATGTGGCCGTTCTTTGTCCCACCGATGCTAGACCTCGGTTTGATAAGCGTGGCAGCCAGATACGGATCCGTCAGGGGTGACTGTGGTGTTTGCAATACCAGTCCGTCGACCCGATCACATAATGTAAACCCTGCGGACCTGATCCCAGGTGAAGCTCTCGCCAGTGGTCGGATCTCTAACCTCTCCTTCCTTGCCGATCTGCAGGTCTTGCATGCCATCGGCTCCGGCACCGCCGCCACCGGCCATGACGAGTTTTCTTTGCAACTCTTCTAGCCTCTCACGGCCGTATATGCGACCGTTGGGCAAGACGACGGGGTCGGGCTCAACGAAGCTGGTCGTATGGTGAGCGTAGGGCACATTTCGGGCTAGTTCGTTCAATTCCATACTGCAAATCGGACACAGGGAGGTGTTCGTTGCGATGCGGGCATGGCCTGGGGTCGACGAACTCGCTGGGTTGTATGCGCTGTGACATGCTGGTGTCTTCAAGGCTGAAAGACCCGATGATAAGGCAACGTGCAAGAGTGGTTGGACCGGAAGCGAGAGGAGCGTATGATGCGTCTCGATGAACAGGTTGGATAGATGGCGCCATCTCTTGGGACCGAAAAGTGTTTGATATGGCTCAGCTTCGGTCTCTGGTGACTGTGCCAACAGACCAGCCGCTTGCATGATAGCCTCGGCCCGGGATGAAGTATGTGGTGTCAAATGCTGTTGAGCGTATTGTCTTGCCTCGAGTTTCTTGGCCGTTGTACCGGCTCGGACAAGCTCGATGAACTGTTGCAACCTCAGTTCAAATTCCAAGTCGGTCGTTTTGTATGGCGATTGGGTCATTTTCTTGAGCTGGGCTCTGTTCTCATTGATCCAGGCGAGGGCTTCCTTTGTCTCTCCTCTGGTGAGCGAAGAGGCAATCTTGTGACATGTGATGAATGTGTCGAGGTCGATCAGGTGGGAGATCTGCTTCGACTCGGCCAGCGAGGAGGCTGTTTTGGAGTAGCCCGAACGGAGGAGGTAGTCAATCATGAGCCGGTCAAGGCGAGTTCGTGACCACTGCTCGTACTTGACGTCCACCAAGGAGGGGATTTCGTACAAGTCTTGCAGGTGCTTTATTCGCTTGGCCGAGTGGTCATGTAGAGCTTCCTCTTCGGTGTGCAGCTTCTCTAGTTTGCGCTTGAAGTTTTGCATCCGCTGGATCATAGCGTCGAGAGAGGCGAGGGTCTGGTCCGGAGTTTGGGACGAGCTGAGAGCCGCATTGGCCGTCTCTTTGAGGGCGGGCAGGATGTAGTCTCGTTCTCGCTCCACATAGCGTTGTGTGTTCCTGAAATTCCGTTTGACGAGTTCATGGGGGAGTCGGAGAAGAGGCTGGTCCTGTACGTATATCCGTCAGATGCTGCAACAGGGACCCAGAGTGAGCAGCTACATACAAGAAGGATATGACTGTCCGGGTTGAGTTTGGTGGCGGTCAATTCTGCCGCCATTGTGCAGCTGAAAGGGTGTCAACAGGCGAGTGGGCAATGTGTAGTCGTCCCTTATCGAAGCTGATCAGCCTTGCACCAAATCAGAACCAGGTTATCGTTGCTAAGTTGGTGAATGAGCGGACAGTGAGAGGGTACGACGTCGACAAGTGGGCATCCACGCAGCGAGCGACAGCAGTGTTGTTGCTCCGCCGTACTTTCTACGGTGTAACACGCCACACCCTTTCCGAAATTGAGGACAGCCACAGAGCCACACAGCAACGACGAGGAGCGGCCTCCATTCTTCACCTCACGGTAAGTTCGATATCCTGGACTCGCAGACTCTCTCTTTCTTCAATGACGCAGAGAGCACGACTGCTGCTCTAGACTATGTCTGTATGTGCTTGCAATAAAGCCCCTCAACTTGTTTCATAAGAGAGGGCAGGATTCCTCGAAAGACAGGCATCGGGTTCGAGTAAGGTCGATATTGTTCTGCCGTCTGGCCTTTGGGCTATTGGGGCCTGCGTAGAGTCACACAATGGACAAGTAGAAGGAGCCAAAGAACATGTTCGTCTTCGAAAAGTCCCTTGACGCTCATCACACGATCCAGAACCGGCAAGGAACCAAGTAGTATCATTGCACACCATCACAGCTCATGCCCCGACGGTCACGCGCCACAAGGTCGAGCCCATTCGTTTGCCGCGCCTGTTGGCCGGTGATATAGTCAAGAACAACCGCAGCGTCCATGTCTTAAAGTGTGTAGGAATGGACAAGCATGTTCCGCCGTCTAAACTGAATACCACCCATGCTGCCAGATACCCGGTGTATCCCTGAAAAACCCTGTTCACAATCAAGGCCATAGTCCCGTAGAAGGCCGTTGCCCTCGAAGACTCCAGGGTTGGCCCGCCATTGGACATCAACTTCAGATACTGAGGGCCGTCCATGAATGCAAAAATCCAGCAGCTGAGGACGATGCAGGCATGGTAGAGCCCAGATTCAACACCTGAAACCCATCTCGACGTTGTTTAACGTCCATCTTTCTTCGCAGGTCAGTATGTGCCCACGACACCACATGCCCATTAACGCGGGCAACCAAAAACTCGCTTGAGTGCGAGCAGGGACTCGAGGTGCGCTGATCTAACGGGCGGCGAAATGCAATCGCCATTGTCGGCGTCGCATGCTACTGTGAGATCCAGCAGGACAGGGTCACGAGGTTTCTTACCCCTTCGCAGCATCAAGAACAGCCAAAGGACCTTCCGGGGAGCAGGCGTCCGTTTAGGTTTCGGAGCTTTGACACTGGCTTTTCAGATTCAGCCTCAGAGATGCCCCGTCGCGCTAGAATACCCTCAGTTACCACGGTCGAATGCAAAGTATGTCTCGGATGACAAAATCGGTGGTTGGTTCCGGGCGTGAGTCTAGACCTAGAAAGACGTCTCCGTATCAGCAGCCCAACAGATCGCTTCGCTACATCAATGACGTTGAGTTGCAACTTTCTGACAAAGTGCGGTGCTCGAAAGGGCTGGCCTTGATCGACCTCGCATGCATATGTCTTTGGATCGAGGTAGGGGTTCGAGTTGCTGGGATCCGAGCGATGGTGGAAGAATGGCCACAGAGCTGACCCGAAGCCGAGAGACATTCGATGCGTGAAGCGAGCCATTGACCATATCTCTGGACCCGCAAGCCGAGTCTTGCAGGGCCTTCAGATATGGTCACCTGTCCACTTTGGTCGGGTAAGGACCCATTGGGGAAGAGCGAGTCGGCATCGGGGTCATTGCTGAACATTGCTGCACCAGCCGAGAGCACCAACTAGACCAGGGAGACTGGAGACAGAACTGAATATTTGACGGTCTAGACCAGAGATCGCCCGGTACCCAGCCCACGAATAACTTCTTCTAGCCCATGCACCGGGACGCGTATCGAGGAGCCGGCGAGCTCGAGCTGGAAACGAAGGGTACGAGTACTCAGGCTCTGGTGAGGGTTAAGTGAATGAAGTGCACCAACAGACGCGGGGTACATGTACCGAGATAAACAGTCTAGCCTGCATTGCTGGGCTGTAATAGGCTATGTTTTGTTAGCCGTGTGAAGACAGCTTCAGCTTGGACCAAACCACCCTTGGACTCTTCTCACTTCGCCGTTACATGTGGGTGAGGCTCATTCACTGGTGGAAAAGCGTCCTGGATGATGGTGGCGGTTGCGGGGATTTCGGGCAGATCAAGCAACGATTGCCTACTCCGTGCATAATGATGATGCAGCAGGCACCACAGGTGCTCGATACTCGTACATACCCGAAACGGCCACCTTTATGTGGTGGAGACGCGTTGCCAGC